GGGATGAGAGACAGGGCCTTCTCAGTGGTGGCCCCTCGGCTATGGAATGCCCTACCGGCAGACATCAGACAGGCACCTTCGCTGCTGACGTTTCGGAGAATGGTTAAGACCTGGCTTTATGAACAAGCGTTTGGTTAAGCAGTGCAACCAATCATAGGAAGACGGTAAATGGAACATAGGAATGGCACAAGGATTATGAGAACGGATCTGATTTCAACTGAGGCGTTATGTTATGTCTGTTTTGTTGATCTGTCTTGTTGATTGTTAACTGTTGTGGATTGATGCTGTTGATCCTGTTTGTTGCGTTGTTATGTTTTAATTGCACTGACACTGTTTGATAATTGTACCATGTAAACCGCATTGAGTCGCCTGTTAAGGGCTGAAAAATGTGGTAGAGGAAATAAAGCAAATAAATAAATAAATAAATAATATTAGAAATGCTGTGCAGAATGTTCATACCATGAGGCTGTGATTATGTGACCTTGAGAGAAGTAAGATAAGGTTTGCTCTTGCTGGGAACAGAAGGGAGTAACCGGTCTCAGCAAGAAGAGATAAGCAGATGTGAAGAGGCTTTCGTTTTGACTAGTTCCTGAATTATAGCTCGCTGTAGTAAGACGTGCCTATTGAATGTGCTTAGTAAACTTAGTTTCGTTTGTAACTCAAAGCCTGCAGAGTCCTTATTTTGCAACACAGTGTCTGCTGATCTAGCATTCCTTCCGCTGTGCACCGCCAAACTCTGACAAATATATAAAATTATTAGCATAGTACAATATCAGTATTATATATTACTATATTGTATTATACCATTATACTGTAATATTAGTAGTAGTAGTATTATATTGCATTACATTATAATATTATCAATCTTATATACAATATATTATATTATTAGCATAGTACAATATCCGTATTATATATTATTATATTGTACTATAACATTATATTGTAATATTATTAGTAATATTACATATAATATAAAATATATCATATTATTAGTAGTAGTATTATATTGCATTATATTATAATATTATCAATCTTATATACAATATATTATATTATTAGCATAGCACAAATCTGTATTATATATTACTATATTGTACTATACCATTGTACTGTAATATTATTAGTAATATTACATATAATATAAAATATATAATTATACTATCATATTATTAGTAGTAGTATTGTATTGCATTATATTATAATATTATCAATCTTATATACAATATATTATATTATTAGCATAGCACAATATCAGTATTATATATTACTATATTGTACTATACCATTGTACTGTAATATTATTAGTAATATTACATACAATATAAAATATATAATTATAATATTGTATTATTATTAGTAGTATTATATTGCATTACATTATAATATTAATATGTATATACGATATATTATATTATTAGCATAGTACAATATCAGTATTATATATTACTATATTGTACTATACCATTATATTGTAATATTATTAGTAATATTACATATAATATAAAATATATAATTATACTATCATATTATTAGTAGTAGTATTATATTGCATTACATTATAATATTATCAATCTTATATACAATATATTATATTATTAGCATAGCACAATATCAGTATTATATATTACTATATTGTACTATACCATTATGCTGAAATATTATTAGTAATATTACATATAATATAAAATATATAATTATACTATCATATTATTAGTAGTAGTATTATATTGCATTACATTATAATATTATCAATCTTATATACAATATATTATATTATTAGCATAGCACAATATCAGTATTATATATTACTATATTGTACTATACAATTATATGTAATATAAAATATATAATTATAATATTGTATTATTATTAGTAGTATGATATTGTATTACATTATAATATTATACATATTATATGCATATACAATATATTATATCTATATAAATAAAAATGTAATGTTCGTTTGTGGGATTAACAGAACTCAAAAACCACTGGGCGAATTGACGCCAAATTTGGACACAAGGCACCTAACAACCCAATGAATGTCCTTCACTCAAAAAAAAGGGCTTTGTCATTTGGGAGTTGTAGTTGCTGGGATTTATAGTTCGCCTACAATCAAAGAGCATTCTGAATCCCACCAACGATGGAATTGAACCAATCTTGGCACACAGTTCTCCCATGACCAACAGAAAATACTGGAAGGGTTTGGTGGGCAGTGTCCTTTGGTTTTGGAGTTGTAGTTCACCTACATCCAGAGATCACTGTGGTCCTGGAAAACTCACAGCAACCCAGTGGTTCTGGACACAGAAGCCTTCGACAACAAATCAATAGTGGCAGAATCCCATTAATGTAATAGTAATATTACATTATTATCTAGTTGGAAGTCGCAACTGTATTTACTAGGTTTGGCATTTTTATAGCTTAAATATCCATAAATTATAAAACATTTCATAATTTTGAAATTATTGCCTAGGTTGAGGATTGGGTTTCAGACAGTTGAGTGGAAGGAAATTAATTAAATACAGGAAATACAACCACAGGCAATTTCCTCATGAACTCTGGCCATTCACCAGACTTAATGATCATACTAACGTGCCAGTTATCAAATTGGCATTTGAACAGATGGCACTAAACACTAGACCCACCCCCATCCCTGAACTTGGGATCCACCTTGATTGTGCTTTACTAATAATATTATATAATATATTGTATATGCATATAATATGTATAATATTATAATGTAATACAATATAATACTACTAATAATAATACAGTATTATAATTATATATTTTATATTATAGTTAATATTATTAATAATGGTATAGTGTGATATAGTAATATATAACACTGATATTGTACTATGCTAATAATATAATCTATGGTATATACATATAAGATGGCCAGACAGCCCGGAAAAAGCACAGCAACCCAACTCTTGATTTATTGTTCAGCAACCGATATGACTAATGTTTGAATTAACAGCTGGATTTTCACCTCGCGTCACTCTTTGTCTCAAGAAACCAACACAATTGCTCATTTGCAAAATAGGCTTTACACTTACAACAAGCAGAGTTTGGGCCCCAGTGGTATTCTCTATCAAACTCACCTTCACTTTGACAGTGTTGGCCACAATGCCATCGATAATATCTTCCGTGAAAGGGTCAAACGGCTTGTCCTGGCGCCGCATGAACTCCGGCTTGAGCAGGTATCCGCTCCGGCGGTTGTATTCAAAGATGCCCAGGTTCAGCTGCATTGGTAAGTCTGGACGAAAGGAAATATTGTTGTTGTTGTTAGCCGGGAAGCAGCCATGAAGACCAGTATATACCATATATCAGGGGTCCTCAAACTATGGCCCGCGGGCCAGATACGGCCCTCCAAAATTATTTACCCGGCCTTCGCTCAAGGTCAACCTAAGTCTGAAACAACTTGAAAACACACAACAACAATCTTATCTCATCATCCAAAAGCAGGCCCACACTTCCCATTATTACATTTATTATTTTACTTTATTATTGTCATTATTACTATTATTTCTCTCTATTATTACCGTTATTATTACATTTACATTATTTTACTCACTATTACATTTATTATTGTACTTTATTATTGCTGCTATTACATTTATTATTTTAAATTATTATTATTATTATTATTATGGAATCATAGAATCAAAGAGTTGAAAGAGACCTCAAGGGCCATCCAGTCCAACCCCATTCTGCCAAAAAGCAGGAATATTGCATTCAAATCACCCCTGACAGATGGCCATCCAGCCTCTGTTTAAAAGCTTCCAAAGAAGGAGCCTCCACTACATTCTGAGGTAGAGATTTCCACTGCTGAACGGCTCTCACAGTCAGGAAGTTCTTCCTCATGTTCAGATGGAACGTAGTAGGGACGTCACCAATTTATCTGGGTCTCCTACTATTTGTAATGGATTTACTAAATTGATAACACAGCTAATAGCTTGTAATATTTTGTTGGTCTTTCTTCAATGTGTAGCGTGGCTTGACTTGGAAGTATTCGAAACAGAGACTTGGCTTTAAGAGAAACTGTAACAAGTTTATTGAAGTATAGAAGAAGCTTGATGGTTTCAATGTTTCTTAACTCCTAGAGACACATTTCTTTAGAGCAGGGGTCCTCAAACTAAGGCCTGGGGGCCAGATATAGCCCTCCAAGGTTGTTTACCTGGCCCTCACTCAGGGAAGGGGGGAGAGAGTAGGAGGAAGAGGAAAGGATGTAAAGGAGGGAGGGAAGGAAGGAAAAGGGAAGAGAGAAAGTGAAGGAAGGCAAGAGAGGAGGAGGAGGAAAGAAGGATGGAAAAAGAGAGGGAAGGAAGGAAAGTACAAAGTAAAGGAGGATGAGAGGGAAGGGAGGGAGGGAGGAGGGGGAAAGAGAGAAGGAGGAGGAGGAAATAAGGATGGAAAGAGAGAGAAGAAAGGAAGGAAAGGAGAAGTAAGAGAGGGAGGAAAGGAAGGAAGGAAGATGAGAAAGAAAAGGAAACAAGGAAGGGAGAGAGAGGAGGGGTGAGAGCTCAGAAGAGTGGAAAGAGAGAAGGAAGGAAGAGGAAGGGAGGAGGAGGGGGAGGAAAGAGGAAAGGAAGGAAGGAGAGAGAGAGAAGGAGGGGAGGAAAGAAGGATGGAATGAAGGAAGGAAGGTAAGAAGAAAGTAAAGAAGAAGGGGAAGAAGTCTATGGTCTATTATTATTATTATTACATTTATTATTTTACTCTCTATTATTATTGGAGGGATATGTAAGTACATTTTACCACAAAAAACCTGGAAAAACGTATTGACTCGACTATAAGCTGAGGGTGGGAAATGCAGCCACTATGGGTACATTTCAAAATAAAAATAGATACCAATAAAATGACATTAATTGAAGCATCAGGAGGTTCAACGTTTTTGAATATTAACATAAAACTTTAATTTAAGGTAAGACTGACCAACTCTGATTAAATCATTATTCTAATCTTCTTCAATGCGAATGTGCTTATGCATCCTTCCAATAATAATAGAGTAGAATAATAAATGTAATAATAATAATAATAATAATAGTTTACAATAATAAATGTAATAATAACAGCAATAATCAAGTAAATAATAAATGTAATAATAATAGAGTAAAATAATGTAAATGTAATAATAACAGTAATAATAGAGAGAAATATTAATAGTAATAATGACAATAATAATATTTATTATTATAACTTTAATGATAATAATAATAGAGTAAAATAATAAATGTAATAATAATAATAATAATAATAAATAGAGTAAAATAATAATGATGCCACACAATAAAATACAAACTACCAATAATTATAATAGTTAAAAATATTAAAACGTTAAAACAATATACTTACAATCTACTAAGCTATAACCAATCTGGTGGCCATTACCTAGCTGAATTCTGTGACTGAGTAGTCCATTTAACTTATCCATAATCCATTTCCAAGCCATTGTCAACACTGACATTGTCATTTCCACCTAATAATTACCCAAAGGCCTGGTTCCACATCCACGATTTTACCTTCTTTCTAAAGGTGAGGAGGGATGACGATGACCTAATTTCCCGGGGGAGTGAATTAATTCTACAGGGGGGGGCCACCACCAAGAAGGCCCTGTCCCTCATCCCCACCAAGCGTGTTGAGACAGTGGCGGGGCTGAGAGTAGGGCCTCCCCAGAAGATCTTAAACTCCGAGGTGGGACGTAGAAGGAGATATGTTTGGACAGTAATAACAGAGTAAAATAATAATAGTAATAATAACAATAATAAATAGAGTAAAATAATAAATGTAATAATAATAATAGAGTAAAATAATATAATAGAGTAAAATAAAATAATAATAATAATAAATAATAAGAATAAAATAATAAATAACTGACTCGAGTATAAGCTGAGGGAGGCTTTTTCAGCCTAAAAACGGTCCAAAAAACTCAGCTTATACTCAAGTATATACAGTAGGTCTCTAGACCAAAATGCAGTGCAACCACCATGCTTGGCAACCCACTTCTGTACAATAATAAATGTAATAATAATAATAATAATAATAATAATAATAGAGTAAAATAATAATAATAAAGTAAAATAATGTAAATGCAGTAATAACAGTAATGATAGAGTAAAATAATAATAGTAATAAAAACAGTAGTAGAGTAAAATAATAAATGTAATAATAATAGAGTGAAATAATAAGAGTAAAATAATAAATGTAATAATAATAATAATAAATAGAGTAAAATAATGTAAATATAGTAATAATAATAATAATATAGAGTAAAATAATAAATGCAATAATAATAGTAATAATAATAACAAATAATAAATAATTTTGACTTGAGTATAAGCCGAGGGAGGCTTTTTCCGCCTAAAAACGGTCTGAAAAACTCATCTTATACTCAAGTACATACAGTAGGTCTCTAGTCCAAAATGCAGTGCAACCACCATGCTTGGCAACCCACGTCCTTTATTGTGGCTGTGAATAATAACAGCAATAATAAAGTACAATAATAAATGTAATAATAATAATAGAGTAAAATAATAATAATAATAATAAATAAAATTATGTAAATATAATAATAACAGTAATGATATAAGGACTTAGCATATTGCTAACCGTTGTCAATATTGAGCAGAAGGAAATAAGAGGATGGTCCTCACCAAGTGTCTGGAAATTCAGGGCCACCATCTGGCAGCCAGCGTTCCAGAAGACCTGAGGCATGTAGTTGGAGGAATCCACCCGGGTCCCTTTGGGGTAGATCCGGCTCAGTTGCTTCTTGTTGTATCTGATCGAAGGGCACGTGTCAAGGCAACAATGGCAGGAAGGCAGGCAGCATTGTCAACACTCGCAATCGACTATTGGCATTCAATAGCACTTGTCTCCTGTGCTATTCTAATAATATAATAATATAATATAATATAATATAATATAATATAATATAATATATTGTGTGTATATATATATATATAATATTTATAATATCATAATGTCCAAAATGCTTCTGGAACATGAAAAACTCACAACAACCCTGCTTTGAGTCCCCCTCGGGGTGAGAAAAGCGGTATAAATACTGTAAATAAATATATTTTCATGGCCAGAATCACTGGTTTGTTGTAGGTTTTTTTGGGCTATATGGCCATGGTGTAGAGCAGGGTTTCTCAACCAGGGGGTCAGGACCCCTGGAGGGGTCGCGAGGGGGTGTCACCAAAGACCACCAGAAAAGACAGTATTTTCTGTTGGTCATGAGGGTTCTGTGTGGGAAGTTTGGCCCAATTCAATCGTTGGTAGGGTTCAGAATGCTCTTTGATTGTAGGTGAACTATAAATCCCAGCAACTACAACTCCCAAATGTCAAGGTCTATTTTCCCCCAAACTCCACCATTGTTTACATTTGGGCATATTGAGAATGTGTGCCAAGTTTGGTCCAAATCCATCATTGTTTTAGTCCACAGTTCTCTCTTGATGTAGGTGAACTACAACTCCAAAAACTCAAGGTCAATGCCCACCATAGAATCATAGAATCAAAGAGTTGGAAGAGACCTCATGGGCCATCCAGTCCAACCCCCTGCCAAGAAGCAGGAATATTGCATTCAAATCAAACCCTTCCACTAAACTCTTCCAGTATTTTCTCTTGGTCATGGGAGTTCTGTGTGCCAAGTTTGATTCAATTCCATCATTGGTGGAGTTCAGAATGCTCTTTGATTGTATATACATATAATATTTACTCCCAAATGTCAAGGTCTATTTTCCCCCAATCTCCACCAGTGTTTACATTTGGGCATATTGAGAATTTGTGCCAAGTTTGGTCCAGATCCATCATTGTTTTAGTCCACAGTGATCTCTGGATGTAGGTGAACTACAACTCCAAAAACTCAAGGTCAATGCCCACCAAACCCTGCCAGTATTTTCTGTTGGTCATGGGAGTTCTGTGTCCCAAGTTTGATTCAATTTCATCATTGGTGGAGTTCAGAATGCTCTTTGATTGTAGATGAACTATAAATCCCAGCAAGTACAACTCCCAAATGTCGAGGTCTATTTTCCCAAAACCCCACGAGTGTTCACATTTGGGCATATGGAGTATCCGTGCCAAGTTTGGTCCAGATCCATCATTGTTGGAGTCTAGAGTGCTCTCTGGATATAGGCGAACTTCAACTCCCAAACTCAAGGTCAATGCTCACCAAACCCTTCCAGTATTTTCTGTTGTCATGGGAGATCTGTGTGCCAACTTTGGTTCAATTCCATCGTTGGTGGGGTTCCGAATGCTCTTTGTTTACAGGTTAACTATAAATCCCAGCAACTACAACTCCCAAATGACAAAATCAATCCCCCCGCCAATCCCACTGGTATTCAAATTTGGGCATACCAGGTATTTGTGCCAAATTTGCTCCAGTGAATGAAAATACATCCTGCAGATCATTATTTACATGGTGATTCATAATGTTAGGGTTATGGTTGGGGGTCGCGTATTATGTATTAAGGGGTCGCGGCTTTAGAAAGGTTGAGAACACTTTCCCTCTGGGTGGATCTTCGTCTTGACTCTCGTGGCTTGTTCTTGGTCTTGCAGCTCTTCTGATGTCTGAGGGGGAGTCCCCATTGGCCTGTAGAACCCAGGTGAGGTGAGGTGAGGACATCTAATCACCTCTCAACAAAAGTTTGCTCCAGGCACTGTCAGGCCATTATATGCTAATCAAGGTGGTCAGTTGAAACATTCACACCTAGCTCCAGCAGACAAGAGTCCTTTGTCCCACCCTGGTCATTCCACAGATATATAACCCTTTTTCCTAGTTCCAACAGACCTCACTACCTCTGAGGATGCTTGCCATAGATGCAGGCGAAACATCTAGGAGAGAATGCCTCTAGAACATGGCCATATAGCCCGAAAAAACCTACAACAACCCACTGTAAATAAATGTAAATAAATAAATACCGGCCATGAAAGCTTTCGACAATACACAGAAGCAATAAACTCAGACCCCCTCCACATTGCCATATAATCCAAATTACCCAAGCAGATAAGCCACATTATCTGCTTATATGAGTCTACGTTGATATATAATCCAGTTCTGCTTCAACCAGTACTGTTTTTTCCCAACCGCCAATCCTGATCATTCCGAACGTCAGGCGGGATACTCCACAAACTCCATGGGACTGTTAGTGAGCTGCTCCAGACCTTTGGTCTCCACAAACGAAGACATCTCGTAGGATTTGTTGCGTTCTTAGGAGGAAAGAAGACAAAAAGCAAGCCTTAGGGGGATCTCATTAAAGGTTGTGCTCCAGGGCTCCCTCCCATTTCCGTTCCTCTCGTGCTGCTGATTCTTTAACTCTTGCTAACTTTTGTACCCAGCATTGCCCGGTGTGCCGACATTTCACAACTACAGTCCTTTTTCAGGTGTCTTTTTACATGTGACGATGTGGGGGGAAAATATTTTCTTTTAAATCTTTTTACTGCCTTGTGTTGATGTATTTTCCCCTTTTTAAATTGGCTGGGGCTTTCTTGTGAGCTTTTTCCTTGAGGCTTTTGTATTACAGGCTTGAGACACTCTTGTAGTAAACCAAGTAACAAAGTTTATTTATAGCTTCTGGCTCCAATGCTTATGGTTACATTTGTGTGTTCTGTTATAGTCTTGAGTCTTACATTCAGTATCATTCACTTAGTTAACTTTTCTTATCAAACTTCAACTGTTTCACATCAACAAATATGTTACTTTTTCATACACTCTCAACAGAACTATATTCCGCCTTAAACCACACTGGCACTTCTTTATTTTCCTTAAAACTTAAGCTCCATTTTCCTAACTGCTTTTCTCTCACCGAAGTTACTAACTGTCCTTCACAAACAGGAATCCCTAACTGAAATTCTTTGACTCCCTAACTGCCTATTTTTAAACTTAACTCTGCCCCTTTGGAATATTCAGCTCTCTTCCCCCCAACTGCCATTCTGGCTCAATGGCCCTTTCAAATTCTGGCCTACACTCATCTGCATACGACCAATCGGCTGCATGTAAACAAATTAATCTTGCCTCTACTGTTGCTACCCTATTTCTGCCAATTCTGCCACATTGCAACATAGAGCTATACATCAAAAATTTAACATAAATCAACAAATTCGCTACACCGGGTTCTTTGAGAAAGTAATTTTAAAAAATTGTACAAAATGCACAATGTTGTGGGTGAACTACAACTCACATTACGTCAGGTTAACCCCGAGAAACTCCATCAGTGCTTAAAGTTTGTGATGTTGGGCAAGTTTGCTCTAGACGCATCCTCAGTGGTGGGGTTCAGTGTGCTCTCTGGCTGTAGGGTGAACTACAACTCCCACTATGGTGAGTCTGTCCCCTCAAACCACTCCAGTAGGTTGAGTTAGTTATGGGAGATCTGCGTGCCAAGCTTGGTCCAGGTCCATCATCAGTGGAGGTCACAGTTTGTCTAGTTGTGGGTGAACTACAACTCCCAGAAGGGAAGGTCAGTTACACCAAAACCCTTCAGTAATCAAATTTCAACATATCGCATATGTGTGCCATGTTTGGCATAGATTCATCAGTATTTGGATCCAGAGTGCTCCCTGGATGTAGGTGAACTACAACTCCCAGAAGGGAAGGTCAGTTACACCAAATCCCTCCAGTCATCAAATTTCAACATATCAGGTCTGTGTGCTCTCTGGATGTAGGTGAACTACAACTCCCAGAAGGGAAGGTCAGTTACACCAAACTCTTCCAGTAATCAAATTTCAACACATCAGGTCTGTGTGCCAAGTTTGGTTCAGATTCACCTGTGTTTGGGTTCACAGTGCTCTTTGGTTGTAGGTGAACTACAAATCCCAGAAGGGAAGGTCATCTTGCGCTCTGGATGTAGGTGAACTAAATCCCTCCAAAGACCTCCAGCATTTTTTGTTGGTTATGGGGGCTCTGTGTGCCAAGTTCGATCGATTTCCATTTTTGGTGGAGTTCAGAGTGCTCTTAGATTGCAGGGGAACTATACATCCCAGGACCCATAACTCCTATAAATCATGGGGAATTCTCCCCAAACCTCTCTAGTATGTTCAATTGCTGATCAATTTACACCAAACCCCTTCAGTAATCAAATTTCAACATATCACGTATGTGTGCCAAGTTTGGTCCAGATTCATCAGTATTTGGGTTCAGAGTGCTCTCTGGATGTAGGTGAACTACAACTCCCAGAAGGAAAGATCAGTTACATCAAACCCCTTCAGTAATCAAATTTCAACACATCAGGTCTGGACCAAACTTGGCACACATACGTGATATGTTGAAATTTGAAAACTGAAGGGTTTTGGTGTAACTGACCTTCCCTTCTGGGAGTTGTAGTTCACCTACATCCAGAGAGCACTGTGAACCCAAACACAGGTGAATCTGGGCCAAACTTGGCACACAGACCTGATGTGTTGAAATTTGATTACTGAAGGGGTTTGGTGTAACTGACCTTCCCTTCTGGGAGTTGTAGTTCACCTACATCCAAAGAGCACTATGAACATAAACACAGATGGATCTGAACCAAACTTGGCACACAAAGTTTGGGGTAAGAAGGGTGGCATAGAAATGTCGTAAATAAATAAAATAAATAAATAGGAATGGGATAATGTTTAATGGGAACCAAAACAGAGCGTGAGGCAATGGTTCTCAACCTGTGGGTCCCTAGATGCTTTGGCCTACAACTCCCAGAAACAGCTGGTAAACTTCTGGGAATTCTGGGAGTTGTAGGCCAGCACACCTGGGGACCCACAGGTTGAGAACCACTGATCCAAGTGGATGAATAATGAACCTTGCATTGACTGCATTCTGAAGTATCATGAGAATTACGAGGGTCACGAATGGGGTTAGGTGTAACGTCACACCCAGAATGTGTATTCAGAACCCATGGTGTATCACTACGTCTTCCTCCCTACATCAAAGGCCATCTTATTGACTAAAGGAGGTACAAATCTTATTGTTAGCCCCAAATAGAGTCAAGTCACTGGCCCTTAACCTCAGGGTTTTTTTGGGCAAACCCCCCATTGCCTCCCCACTCCCGCCTCCGCACTCACTGCTGGCCACCTCAAAGGATTTGAACTTGACCGGCTCAATGTAGTTCACCAACGTGGACATTTCTTCCGTGGCATTGACCTCGCTGCTTGCGGTGCCCTGTCAATTCACGGAAAGTAGAGTGTGAGTGGGACAGAGGCAAAAAAAATAGGAACAAGGAAAATTAAACTTAAAAAAAATATATTCTTGGAGGTGCAATAAGGAAACAGATATACAATTATATATATTTACTGGCTATCCCAGCAAAATGTCATAGAATCATAGAATCAAAGAGTTGGAAGAGACGTCATGGGCCATCCAGTCCAACCCCATTCTGCCAAGAAGCAGGAATATTGCATTCAAATCACCCCTGACAGATGGCCATCCAGCCTCTGTTTAAAAGCTTCCAAAGAAGGAGCCTCCACTATATTCCAGGGCAGATAGTTCCACTGCTGAACTTCTCTCACAGTCAGGAAGTTCTTCCTCATGTTCAGATGGAACGTAGTAGGGACATCACCGATTTATCTGGGTCTCCTACTATTTGTAATGGGTTTACTAAATTGATAACACAGCTAATAGTTTGTAATATTTTGTTGGTCTTTCTTCAATGTGTAACACGGCTTGACTTGGAAGTATTTGAAACAGAGACTTGGCTTTAAGAGAAACTGTAACAAGTTTATTGAAGTATAGAAGAAGCTTGATGGTTTCAATGTTTCTTAACTCCTAGAGACACATTTCTTTAGAGCAGGGGTCCTCAAACTAAGGCCCGGGGGCCAGATACGGCCCTCCAAGGTCATTTACCCGGCCCTCACTCAGGGAAGGGCCAGGTAAATTATCCCAGCAAAATGTCATAGAATCATAGAATCAAAGAGTTGGAAGAGATGTCATGGGCCATCCAGTCCAACTCCCTGCCAAGAAGCAGGAATATTGCATTCAAATCACCCCTGACATGGCCATCCAGCCTCTGTTTAAAAGCTTCCAAAGAAGGAGCCTCCACCACACTCCGGGGCAGAGAGTTCCACTGCTGAACGGCTCTCACAGTCAGGAAGTTCTTCCTCATGTTCAGATGGAATCTCCTCTCTTGTAGTTTGAAGCCATTGTTCCATTGCGTCCTAGTCTCCAGGGAAGCAGAAAACAAGCTTGCTCCCTCCTCCTCCCTGTGGCTTCCTCTCACATATTTATACATAGCTATCATGTCTCCTCTCAGCCTTCTCTTCTTCAGGCTGGACAATTTGTGTAGCTTGCTGTCGACCTTTGCAGCCCGAAAGACAGTTGCATATGTCAAGTAAGAAATTTAGGTACCGCGTATGTGGGGAGGTGAATGTAAGTAATTTACGATGCCATAAAAACCTCCAGCAAGCATGCAAAGAATGAGGAAGTACTTCATCAGTGTCACAAATGGACGGTGAAGCGACAGCTCCCCTGGTGGCCAGGAAGTTAGTGAAGGTACTGCGAGTCCCATCATCTGTGGTCCATCCTCCTCCAAACTGCACCAGGATGGAGAGTGGGTCATGGGGGCTCTGTGTGCCAAGTTTGATCTTGATCAGTCATTGGGTGAGGGTCGCAGTGGTCTCAGAAAGTGAGTTAAGGTACTGCAAGTCCCATCATCCATAGTCTGTTTCCCCCCAAATCTCACCAGAATGTTGAGTTGGCCATGGGGGCTCTCTGTGCCAAGTTTGGTCTTTATTGGTATTTGGATGAGTGTCGCTGTGGTTCCAGGAAGTGAGTGAAGGTACTGTGAGTCCCATCATTTGTCGTCTGTCCTCCAAACTGCAGTAGGATGTAGAGTGGGTCTTGCAGGCTCTGTGTGCCAAGTTTGGTCTGTATTGGTAATTTTCTGACACAGCCTCAGGTCTTTTTCTCTCCTCTCTTGTCACCTCAGAATCTTGGAACTTTCAGGCTGGCCAATCAGAGACTATATGCAAATAGTACCACAGTGGCAGCCAATCAGAAAGCTGCCACATACTCCTCCGCCCTACGTCCGCCGCACTTCCGCCCTCTGCATACAAACTTTGACTTTTATTATAGACTAGCTTGGGGACCTGGCGCTGCCCGGGTTATTTGAGAAAGGAATTGTGTATCAAGGTTGGTCTTTTTCAGTTATTTATATGGCTCGCAGTGGTCTCAGGAAGCTAGTGAAGGTACTTGAAGTCTCATCATCTGTGGTCCATCCTCCTCCAAACTGTACCGTGATGGAGAGTGAGTCATGGGGGCTCTGTGTGCCAAGTTTGGTCCTGATCAGTCATTGGATGAGGGTCGCAGTGGTCTCAGAAAGCGAGTTACGGTACTGCAAGTCCCCTCAAGTTTGGTCTGTATTGGTAATTTTCTGACACAGCCTCAGGCCTTTTCCTCTCTTCTCTGTCACCTTAGAATCTTGGAGTTTTGAGGCTGGCCAATCAGAGACCATATGCAAATTGTACCACACTGGCAGCCAATCAGAAAGTTGCCACATACACCTCCGCCCTACGTCCTCCCTACTCCTGCCCTCCACATACAAACACTGACTTTTATCATATACATAGATATAGATATAGATAGGCAATACGGGGTCTCTTGGAGACACTTTTTCTCTCCCGTCCACCATCTCATCCTGACCAAGACCAACCCTTTTGGGATCCAAACGTAAACAAACACCGGCCACCATTCAGAGACACACCTCATCGGTTGTGGGTTTTTTGGGGTCTTGCTGCTCCTCCTCTTCTTCGCTTTCAGCTTCCCGGTCTATGCAATGGAGGGGGAAAAAAAGTTTCATGAAAATGGTAGACCAAAAATTTCAAAGTAATACAGTAAATAAATAAATAAGATCATCCTTAAATTCAACTGTAGTAGCAGTAGTAGTAGTAGTAGCTGTTGTTGTTGTTTTCCTTAAGTATCTTTCCCCTCCTGAAAAACTCACCAATAGATTTGCGGGGTTCGACCAGCTTCGCCACCCGGTCAGAGGACTTCTCCTCCCCGTTGGTCATGACGGGCGAAAGGACCTCAGAAGCATCTGCGAAAGGAGAACCTGTGGGAGGAAAGGAGGCCGAGGGAGACGGTGAGGAAAAAGAGCGAGTTAAAGTTAAGCGAGCAGTGAAAAGGGAAATTTCCCCAAGGGCTAGCGTTAGAAACTCAACAGAAATAAATAATCTTCCTTTTTCACTGTTATTGCTTTGCGCCTTCAAGTCATTCCAACTCTATTTATGGCAACTACAGAAAGATTTATTCAGAAGAGGTTCGCCGCGGCCTTCCTCTCAGGCAAAGCGAGCGTGACTCAGAATCCGAGAGCTGGAAGAGACCTCAAGGGCCATCCAGTCCAGGAACATGCAGTTAGAGCCTTCCTGACAGATGACCATCCAGCCTCTGCTTAAACTCCACAGAGAGGGGGACTCCACCACACACAGACATGTGCTTTTCACCTTAATATGATATTGTATCCCACCTTGAGCTGCAAGGAGGGGCAGGTAAGTAGTATAATAATAATAATAATAATAATAATAATAATACTTTATTTATACCCCGCCACCATCTCCCCAAGGGGACTCGGGGCGGCTTACATGAGGCCAAGCCCAACAACACATCGGTAAAAACAAAACAGCAAGCAAATAAAACAGTACAATTAATATAACTTACATATCTATCTATATAATAAAAGTGAATGTTTGTATGTATGTATGTATGCGGAGGGTGGGGTTCATTCAGAATGCTCTTTGGTGGCAGCTTTCTGATTGGCTTTCACAGGCCACAGAGACTTGCACAAGCGACGGACCTGGACCAAACTTGGCACACATAACCCCCATGACCCCCTGTACGTCCTGGTGAGGTATGGGGGAGGACGGACAAAGGATAATGGATTTGTAGTACTTTCAACCCCTTCGGCTCCTACAGACCACTGTAGCCCCCAACAAAGACCGATAAAGACCAAACTTGGCACACAGAGCCCCCATGACCCAACCTACTTCCTGCTACGGTTTGGAGGAGGGTGAATCATGGATAATGGGACTTCAAGTACCTCCACTCACTTCCCGAGACCGCTGCAACCCTCATCCAATGACTGATCAAGACCAAACTTGGCACACATAACCCCCATGACCCCCTTTAGTTCCTGGTGAGGTTTAGGGTAGGACAGACAATGGATGATGGGATGTGTAGTACTTTACAACCCTTCGGTTTCCACAGAACACTGCGGCCCCCAACAAAGACTGATAAAAACCAAACTTGGCACATTGAGCCCCCATGAACCACTCTACATACTGGTGCAGTTTGGAGAGGATGCAGCATGGACGATGGGACTTGCAGTACATTCGCTTACTTCCTGAGACCACTGTGACCAACACCACTGATGGATCAGGATCAAACTTGCCACACAGACCCACCATAACCCACTCTACATCCAGGGGCTGTTTGGAGGAGGATAAACCATGCACGATGGGATTCGCAGTACCTTCACTAACTGATAACTGATAAAGAACACCTTTGCCACACAATGCCTTTCTCAAATAACCCGGGCAGCGCCGGGTCCCCAAGCTAGTAAACAATAAATCACAGTATTATTATTATTATTATTATTATTATTATTATTATTATTATGGCGCCCCCAGTGGCGCAGTGGGTTAAACCCCTGTGCTGTCAGGACTAAAGACCAACAGGTTGCAGGTTCGAATCCGGGGAGAGCGCGGATGAGCTCCCTCTATCAGCTCCAGCTTCCCATGCAGGGACATGAGAGAAGCCTCCCGCAAGGGTGGTAAAACATCAAAACATCCAGGCGTCCGTCCCCAGGGCAACATCCACCAGAAGCGACTTGCAGTTTCTCAAGTCACTCCTGACATGACCCAAAAAAATTATTATTATTATTATTATTATTATCATCATCATCGTCATCTATGCTGACGATTGTGCCATCACCACTTAAACAGGGATAAATAAATAAATCCATACTGGGAATATATTCTAAGACACCACAATTCAAGAGAGATATTGACAAGCTGGAATGTGTCCAGAGGAGGGCGACTAAAATGATCAAGGGTCTGGAGAACAAGCCCTATGAGGAGCGGCTTAAGGAGCTGGGCTTAGCCTGAAGAAGAGAAGGGTGGATTCCAAACATAAAAGGCAAACATTCAACTCATCTTGTTGTGTTTCACATAATAATAATAATAATAATAATAATAATAATAATAATAATAATAATCTTTATTCATATCCCGCCACCATCTCCCCAAAGGGACTCAGGGCGGATTCCAAACGTAAAAGGCAAACATTCAACTCATCTTGTTGTGTTTCAAATAATAATAATAAACTTTATTTATACCCCGCTATTCTGTCGCCGCTGGAGCTAAAATTAAATGCTTCTAAAAGAGGATGCAAGGCTTGCGTCCAGCGGGAAGCCCGGGGGCCCGAGAAAGAACCTTTAGAGGATTTTTTTTCCTATTAAACAGGCTTTAGGAAGCTTAAGCTTAAATACAACAGTCTTTATTAAGGAACAAGCAGGAATTGTAAAATTTCTGAATAGTCTATTGGCTTTTGCAGTCTTGTTTGCAGGAAACAGGCACTATCTTCAAGAAACTTTAACAGAAAAAATTCCCTTTAAAGCTCCTCCAGGCTGCTGTGAACTTAAACCTGACTGGTTTGAGTCTGCTACTGGCTGAACTGTCTCAGAACCAAACAAACGTACCACAGGCTTGAAATCACTTAGCTGAAGATGAAGAGCTGTTATTCCCTCCGGAGGTTCCCTGGAACCCTTTGGGAATCCGTAGAGACCTTCAATCTGTTCTTCCCCAGGAAGTCTTAAAAGACGAAGCTTTTGCACAGGAGGAACGTCTGTACGCATCCTCTGCCTTGGCTTCCCTTGCTGTGACTAACTGAAAAATGGCTCTTTCCCTCCAAAAAGCAAAAAAGGGGGTGGGACCAGGGATCCTAACTATAATTGGCAGGTGGCTTACCCTATGATTGCAGCCTATAACAGGAAGCCACCCTGCTGCAAAATCCCAAGCCTGGGATTGCAAACAAACATTAACTACAAAGCAAACAAAATAGGAACTCCTGGTACAGCTGTACCAGTACACCCGCCACCATCTCCCCAAAGGGGACTCGGAGCGGCTTACATTTATTTATTTATTTGATACACTTGTATACCGCCAATATCTCAGCCCAGAACGGCGACTCACTGCGGTTTACAGCAGTTAAAACAATCTACAATTTAAAAACATATACACATATAATAACAAATTCAATAACAAATTATTGGGCCACCAATAATAATCCCATATATCTCAAGTTGAAATCGCAATCCAGAATTCGTTGTCCATGTTTCCTGTCCTTAGTCATCAATATTCGAATTGCCACAGATTAGCCGAATGCTTGTTTGAACAGCCATGTTTTGAGTCTCTTCCTAAACACCATCAGCGAAGAGGCTGATCGTACCTCTATAGGGAGGGTGTTCCAAAGCCGGGGGGCCACCACAGAGAAGGCCCTGTCTCTCGTTCCCGCCAGCCGCACTTCTGAAGCTGGAGGGATAGAGAGAAGGGACTCTCCGGAAGATCTTAGGGTCCTGGTGGGCTGATAGGCTGAGATACGTTCGGATAGATAAGTTGGGCCAGAACCGTTTAGGGCTTTAAAGGCCAACGCCAGCACTTTGAATTGAGCCCGGTAGCATATCGGCAGCCAGTGGAGCTGGTTCAGCAAGGGAGTTGTATGCTCCCTGCGCCCCGCTCCTGTTAGAATCATGGCTGCCGCCCGTTGGACTAACTGGAGCTTCCGGACTGTCTTCAAAGGCAACCCCACGTAGAGAGCGTTGCAGTAATCAAGGCGGGATGTAACCAGAGCGTGGACTACCGTGGCTAAGTCAGACTTCCCAAGGTACGGTCGCAGTTGGCGCACAAGTTTTAACTGTGCGAAAGGTCCCCTGGTCACCGCCGAAACCTGGGGTTCCAGGCTCAGCGATGAGTCCAGGATCACCCCCAAACTGCGAACCTGCGTCTTCAGGGGGAGTGCGACCCCGTCTAACACAGGCTGTAACCCTATACCCTGTTCGGCCTTACGACTGACCAGGAGTACCTCTGTCTTGTCTGGATTCAATTTCAATTTGTTCGCCCCCATCCAGACCGTCACAGCGGCCAAGCACCGGTTCAGGACCTCGACAGCCTCCTTAGTAGCAGGTGAAAAGGAGTGACAGAGGCCAAGCCCAGTGATACATTACAACAAAATAAAATATAAACAACAAAATAGTATCACAATAAAATAAATAAACCAATCAGGTAAAATAAACAATGCAAAATGCAAAGTCAAACACAGCGGGCGGGCGAAATGCACGACATAAAATGATAAAACTCTGGATGAAACCATGGGTATTAAGTAGGCTTGGGCAATCCACGGTTCTAAATGGTTCTAAAGTACTATTATTATTATGATAATAATAATAATAATAATAATAATAATAATAATAATAATAAATCACACAGTCCTAGACGCTTGGGAAGTGTTCGACTTGTGATTTTGTGATACGAAATCCAGCATAGAGATCTCAATTGCTGTGACATACTGTGCTTTTGTGTCAATAATAATAATAATAATAATAATAATAATAATAATCTTTATTTATACCCCACCACCATCTCCCCAAAGGGGATTCAGGGCAGCTAACATGAGGCCAAGCCCAAATGTTTTTCCCCAATTAGTCATGATATGTCCAAAGTATGACAGCCTCAGTTTGGACATTTTGGTTCCTAGGGAGGATTTGTGGTTTGCTTTAGGACCCATTCATTCGTCTTTTTAGCACTTGCATCTGTAGAAGTCTTCAGCACATCTCTATTGTATGTCAGCCTGTTCAGCCTGTGATTGTGTGTGATGTTCATGTTGATGTTCAAGATGGGAATAGTGTTCATGTTGATGTTCATGATGAGAATGGGGATGATGTTCCTTCTTTAGAAGCTTTTAAACAGAGGCTGGATGGCCATCTGTCAGGGGTGATTTGAATGCAATATTCCTGCTTCTTGGCAGGGGGTTGGACTGGATGGCCCATGAGGTCTCTTCCAACTCTTTGATTCTATGATTCTACTTACAAAACTAAAGTTCTGGTGGTGAAAATTTCAGAACTCTAACAAAACTTTCAAAATTTAATTATTATTTTATTATTGGTGATTTTAATGACAGAACCAATTAGGAACTGCCATTTATTATGAAATTTTGAGAGTTTTGTTAGAGTTCTGAAATTTTCACCACCAGAACTTTAGTTTTGTAAGTACTTTAGAACCATGGATTGCCCAAGCCTAGTATTAAGTTTGTGGATAAGGGGGTGTGGATCCGAGGTGCCCATGGCACACCACCCAAGTGTGGTAGGCAGGATGAAAACATGGATTCCAGCCCTTAGGATGCGTACCTAGTGCGGGGGAGCCTGGCTCGCCAACCCCTGAGGAATCGCTGTAAGTGCTGGGCATCTGCTCCAGGACCCGCTTGCGGACGCTGCCCTCCGAGCCCTTGCTATGCGGCCGACGCTTTTTGTTTTTCACCAGAATCCGACCCTGCAGCTCTTGAGGGTTCGGCAAGGGAACGCCAGGCTGGAGCTGGAGAGAGAAAGAAGGGAAGGCCCTTCAAGCGTGGCATCAAGATAAGAAGCACAAGAGATCTTTCTTCACGGGCTTGGGAAGGAATATCACCCTTGGAGATATTTCACGCTCCTTTCCTGGGAGCTTGAAATATCTCCCAGGAATCAAGATCAAGGAAAGCTTGAGAAAGGTGCAAAACCTGTGCAGATAATATTTTACAAAGCTCCTCTGCTAAAAGAAATGCACTGCGGCCAGTGCGGTGTTGGGTGGTTTCCAGGCTGTATGGCCATGTTCTAGCAGCATTTTTGTCTGACGTTTTGCCTCCATCTGGACACTCCACAGGTATATGGAGTGTTATATGTTATATGAGATATGCTGCGCCCATACCTTGGGAAGTCTGACTTGGCTACGGTAGTCCACGCTCTGGTTACATCCCATATAGACTACTGCAACGCGCTCTACGTGGGGTTGCCTTTGAAGACAGTCCGGGAGCTTCAACTAGTCCAGTGTTTCTCAATCTGGGGGTCGGGACCCCTGAGGGGGTCGCAAAGGGGTGTCAGAGGGGTCACCAAGGACCATCAGAAAACATAGTATTTTCTGATGGTCATGGGGATTCCATGTGGGAAGTTTGAGCCAATTCTATCGTTGGTGGAGTTCAGAATGTTCTTTGATTGTAATGAACTATAAATCCCAGCAACTACAACTCCCAAAAGTCAATGTCTATTTTCCCCAGGCTCCACCAGTGTTCACATTTGTGCATATTGAGTATTTGTGCCAAGTTTGGTCCAGATCCACCATTGCGTGAGTCCACACTGCTCTCTGGATATAGGTGAACTACAACTCCCAAACTCAAGGTCAATACCCACCAAACCCTTCCAGAGTTTTCCGTTGGTCATGGGAGTTCTGTATGGCAAATTAGGTTCAAATCCATTGCTGGTGGAGTTCAGAATGCTCTTTGATTATAGGTGAACTATAAATCCCAGCAACTACATCGAATGACTTGACGATGGAATCGGACAATGCTTGATAATAAGGAGACGCTAATGATGTTGTTGTTATTATTGTTGTTGTTTCATACTGTTTTAATGTTTTAACTTGTTTATGTGTACTGTTTTGTTGGAAACCGCCGTGAGTCGCTGATTGGCTGAGAAAGGCGGTCTACAAATATCGTAAACAAATAAATAAATATAATGAGATGTTATATTATGCTTAATTGATTGTTATAATGCTATCGTTTTAATTGTTTTTAACCGTTTTGTGATGTTTTAAGCATTGAATTTTACTATTGTGAACTGCTCTGAGTCGCCCGAGGGCTGAGAAGAGCAGTATACAAATATTGTGTGTGTGTGTGTGTGTGTGTGTGTGTGTGTGTGTGTGTGTGTGCTGGAACACGGCTATATAGCACTGGGATTGTGGTGCAGCAGGCTGAGTGTCAGCTGCATTAAGATCACTCTGACCAAAAGGTCATGAGTTCGAAACCAGCCCGGGTTGGAGTGGGTTTCCAACCAATTATGTGTAGCCTGTTGTCGACCTTTGCAACCCGAAAGACAGTTGCATCTGTCAAGTAGGAAAATTAGGTACCACCTTAAAGTGTGGGGAGGCTGAATTAACTGATTTATGAGGCCATAAAGAAGACTCCAGCAAAGCATTCCAGCGGGGAAGCATGCGGGGAATGCGGAAATGCTTCATCAGCGTCGCAGATGGACGATGAAAGCGCCAGAAAAGTTAAATAGCCTCTGTGTATGTCTGTATATGTTTGTATGTCAAAAATTGGCATTGAATGTTTGCCATATATGCGTACACTGTAATCCGCCCTGAATCCCCTGCGGGGTGAGAAGGGCGGAATATTAAAGCTGTAAATAAATAAATAAATAGCTTGGGAAACTCACAACAACTCAGTGATTCCGGCCATGAAAGCCTTTGACAATACAACTTATAATATCGTTGCCCGCAACTTTAAGCTTCTCCCCAAATGGTATTTTCCCCCCTTCAAGCTTATTTGCAAGACATACCGGATATTTTTCAAAGGGATCGATGAGGAGAGCGTCGCCAAAAATATTCCGGCAATACTCCGCCATCTTGGCTTGTTGCTTTGCCCTAAGGAAACCCAGAAGAAACAAACCGTGATGCTGCCATTTGCGCTCTCCCAGGTGCTGAAAGAACAGCTCCTTGGTCTCGGCGGCCAAAAGCTACTCACGAGTCGACGTGGTTCTCAAAGGAAAGAATAACCGGGAAGGTCGAAGCCTTGAAGGCGCTTTCGGCAATCGCCTCGATGACTTCCTGCAAAAAAAGCAAACCGGGAATAAGATCACACCTGGAATATTGTGTCCAATTCTGGGCATCGCAATTGACAAGGTGGAATGTGTCCAGAGGAGGGTGACTCAAATGATCAAGGGCCTGGAGAACAAGCCCTATGAGGAGCGGCTTAAAGAGCTGGGCATGTTTAGCCTGAAGAAGAGAAGGCTGAGAGGAGATATGATAGCCATGTATAAATATGTGAGAGTTGACAAACTGGAATGTGTCTGGAGAAGGGCAACTACAACGATCAAGGGCCTGGAGAACAAGCCTTCTGAGGAGCGGCTTAAAGAGCTGGGCATGTTTAGCCTGAAGAAGAGAAGGCTGAGAGGAGATATGATTTTGATTTTCCCCTTGACAATTAAGTCCAGTCGTGTCCAACTCTGGGGTGTCGTGCTCATCTCCATTTCTAAGCTGATGAGCCGGCATTGTCCATAAACACCTCCAACGTCATGAGGCTGGCATGACTGCATGGAATGTGTCCAGAGGAGGGTGACTCAAATGATCAAGGGCCTGGAGAACAAGCCCTATGAGGAGCGGCTTAAAGAGCTGGGCATGTTTAGCCTGAAGAAGAGAAGGCTGTGAGGAGACATGATTTTGATGTTCCCCTTGACAATTAACACTTGCCTCAAACACTAACCTCTGGAGTGTCGTGCTCATCTCCATTTTTAAGCCGAAGAGCCGGCGTTGTCCATAGACACCTCCAAGGTCATGACTGCATGGAGTGCCATTACCTTCCCGCCAGAGCGGTAACTATTGATCTATTCACATTTGAATGTTTTCGAACTGCTAGGTTGGCAGAAGCTGGGGCTAACAGTGGGAGCTCACCCGCTTCCCAGATTCAAACCTGCGACCTTAGAATCATAGAGTTGGAAGAGACCAAATACTGTATATACTCGAATATAAGCCTAGTTTTTCAGCCCTTTTTTTAGGCTGAAAAAGTCCGCCTCAGCTTATACTCGAGTCAAGGTTATTTATTATTTTACTCTGTTATTATTATTATTATTATTATTATTATTATTATTATTATTATTATTATCATCATCATTTCATTTATTATTTTATTCTATTTATTATTATTACATTTATCATTTTACTCTATTATTATACATTTATTATTTTACTGTATAATTGCGTAAGGTTGATAATAGCCTTTGTTGAGTGTCTCCTGTCCCGTATTTACTCCAAACACTGTTGGGTACCTTTCATAGCTTTTGGACATGGGCCTGGACTATGACAATGAACATATTGATTGAGTTGTGGCTTAAGGTTTTGATATTTTGCTGGTCCTAAGACTAGGCTCAGTCTGCATATGCTTTTGCCAGGTGCCAATGGTAGACCTGTTGAGAAGGTAGACCTTTCTTGGGCCCATCTCAATGGGTGACACATCTTGGGCCCATCTCAATGGGTGGCACAGTCCAGGTCCCAGGCCCAACCTAGGAGGTCTATCTCTTCAACAGGGCTATGGTTTCATCTCAGATACCTTGAAGGGGATTTCCGTGGTCATTGTGAACCCATGTGTGATGAAGGGTTCCTCGTCTTGAGGTCGGCCCTTCCAGCAGTCAAGCTCAATGCAGCGGCAGCCGCTCAGCAGGACCTGGCGATACATCTCCACCGAGGAATTGCCGGTCAGTTGCCCAGCTGTGGATGAAAGGAGAATTATTATCACCATCATATTTTACATCACAATTACTATATTGTTATAATAATAATTGTATTATATATATTGTTATTCTTATTATCATATTTTTGTATTATTGTTGTAATATTTTAATTATTTTTATTTTATATTATTAACCAGCTGTACCCGCCACGTGTAGCTGTGGCCAACCTTCCCTCCCTCTTTCTCTCCTTCCTTCCCTCCCTCTTTTTCTTTCCCTTCTTCTTTCGTCCTTCTCTACCTGTTTCTTTTCTCGCTCCCTTTGCTCTTTGGTTCCATCCTTCCTTGTCCCTTTCCTTCCTTTCTTCCCTCTTTCTCTCCTTCTTTCTTTCTCTCCTTCCTTCCCTCCCTCTGCCTTTCCTTCCCTCTTTTTCCCTTCTCTCCCTTTTTCTTTTCTCGCTTCCTTTGCTCTTTGGTTCCATCCTTCCTTGTCTCTTTCCTTCCTTTCTTCCCTCTTTCTCTCCTTCTTTCTTTCTCTCCTTCCTTCCCTCCCTCTGCCTTTCCTTCCCTCTTTTTCCCTTCTCTCCCTTTTTCTTTTCTCGCTTCCTTTGCTCTTTGGTTCCATCCTTCCTTGTCTCTTTCCTTCCTTTCTTCCCTCTTTCTCTCCTTCCTTCCCTCCCTCTGCCTTTCCTTCCCTCTTTTTCCCTTCTCTCCCTTTTTCTTTTCTCGCTTCCTTTGCTCTTTGGTTCCATCCTTCCTTGTCTCTTTCCTTCCTTTCTTCCCTCTTTCTCTCCTTCTTTCTTTCTCTCCTTCCTTCCCTCCCTCTGCCTTTCCTTCCCTCTTTTTCCCTTCTCTCCCTTTTTCTTTTCTCGCTTCCTTTGCTCTTTGGTTCCATCCTTCCTTGTCTCTTTCCTTCCTTTCTTCCCTCTTTCTCTCCTTCTTTCTTTCTCTCCTTCCTTCCCTCCCTCTGCCTTTCCTTCCCTCTTTTTCCCTTCTCTCCCTTTTTCTTTTCTCGCTTCCTTTGCTCTTTGGTTCCATCCTTCCTTGTCTCTTTCCTTCCTTTCTTCCCTCTTTCTCTCCTTCTTTCTTTCTCTCCTTCCTTCCCTCCCTCTGCCTTTCCTTCCCTCTTTTTCCCTTCTCTCCCTTTTTCTTTTCTCGCTTCCTTTGCTCTTTGGTTCCATCCTTCCTTGTCTCTTTCCTTCCCTCCCTCTTTCTTTCATTCTTTCTCTCCTTCCTTCCCTCTTTTACTTATTTCATTATCTCCCTCCTTCTCTCCTTCCTTCTCTACCCTCCTTTCTTTCCTTCCTTCTCTCCTTCCCTATCTTTTTCTCTCCCTCCTTCTCTCCTTCCTTCCTTCTCTACCTTTCTTTCTTTCTCTCCTTCCCTCCTTCTTTCCCTCTTTCTCTCCCTCCTTCCTACACTACACTTCTTTCTTTCCTTCTTTATCTCCTTCCCTCCTTCTCTCCTTCCTTCTCTACCTTTCTTTCCTTCCTTCTCTCCTTTCCTCTTTCTCTCCCTCCTTCTCTCCTTCCTTCCTTCTCTATCCTTTTTTTCCTTCCTTCCCTCTTCTCTCCCTCTTTCTTTCCCTCCTTCCTTCTCTACCTTTCTTTCTTTCCTTCTTCCTCTCCTTCCCTGCTTTTCCTTCTCTCTCTCCTTCCTTCCTTCTCTACCTTTCTTTCTTTCCTTCTTTCTCTCCTTCCCTCTTTCTCTCCCTCCTCTCCTTCCTTCTTTATCCTTTTTCCTTCCTTCTCTCCTTCCCTCCTTCTTCTCTCCCTTTCTTTCTTTCCTTCTTTCTCTCCTTCCCTCCTTTCCCTTCTTCTCTCCCTCCTTCCTTCCTTCTCTACCCTTCTTTCTTTCTTTCCTTCCTTCCTCCCTCCTTTCTGTGTATGTGTTTTGTGCGTGTATGCATAAATGTGTGTATATATGTGTGTTTGTGTATATATATGTGGTTTTGCACGTGCATTGTAATGTATTTTTTGGCTTCTTAAGTCCCTTCCGCTGTGTTTTTCAATGTTTTTATTAGTGATAGTCACTTGTTGACCTGATATGTGTCTTGTGTCCAAATTTGGTGTCAATTTGTCCAGTGGTTTTTGAGTTCTGTTAATCCCACAAACCAACATTACCTTTTTATTTATATAGATTACATTGCATTATTATTATATTGTTATTGTTATATTATATATTCTTGTTATGATTGTATTATATTGCATTATTGTTATATATTGTTATATATTCTTATGATTGTATTATATTGTATTATTATTATATATTGTTATATTATATATTCTTATGATTGTATTACATTGCATTATTATACGTTGTTATTGTTATATATTCTTATTATGATTGTATGATACTGCATTATTGTTATATATTGCTATTGTTATATATTATTATGATTGTATTATATTGCATTATTGTTATATATTGTTATTTCTTATATATTCTTATGATTGTATTATATTGTATTATTATATATTATTGTTATATCATATATTCGTATGATTGTATTACACTGCATTATTATATATTGTTATAGTTATATATTCTTATTATGATGGTATGATACTCCATTATTATTATATATTGTTATTGTTATATTATATATTCTTATGATTGTATTATATTGCATTATTATAATATATTATATATTCTTGTTATAACTGTATTATATCGCATTATTATTATTATTATTATTATTATTAATATTATTATTATTCTACCACTAGTTTTATGTTTTTTCTTGGATGTCCTGCTTTCTAGGCCTGTTCCGGGGATTTTTCAAGGCGCTGATTCAGAAAAATGCATTGATTGTACCCCACCAGCTATAGTCTCTCAGACAAGGTTATTATGGATTTTCTATAGGGATATTCCATACGTTCTGTATCTCAAAAACCGGAGCTGATAAGGAGAAAACAGATGCAATTTTTGGAATCAGCAACTCAAATCGACCCAGAAACAGGGCGAACATTTAAGGCAGCAAAATGTGTGTCGGCCAGTGAATTATTTATACGCCTGACAAAACTGGAATTGGAGAAGCCATATCCAAAACGGTTAGGGAAAAAAAGGGGGAAAGAGGAAATGCAATACAAGGAGCAGATCTGTATCTCAAGAGAGACCGCTCTTTCAGTTCCCAAGAGGGAGACATTTTCTTCGCAGACGTCCCTCATAAAAACCCTTTCACTTCAGATAAACGTTCCCTCAGGCAATCGCTCTGTTCTCCTTTTTCCTTGGATTTCATTTAACAAAAGTGAGCACACAAACACCTCAGACTACGATGTTTCCTTTTCTGACGCAAAGGTTGGGGTTTATTCCCTTTTGCAAAGGATTTTTACCTCAGAAAACAACCATTTTGTGCTTTTTTCATTGCGTAAACTAACTCTGAGGGAGTCATTTTGAACCTCAGAGTACGATATTTCTGTTTCTGATGCAAAGGTTGGGGTTTATTACCTTTTACAAAGGATTTTTACCTCAGAAAACAACAATTTTGTGCTTTTTTATTGCATAAAGTAACCGAGGGAGTCATTTTGAACCTCAGACTACGATATTTCCCTTTCTGATGCAAAGGTTGGTGCTTATTCCCTTTTGCAAAGGATTTTTACCTCAGAAAACAACCATTTTACTTTTTTTTGTGGAGTAAAGTAACTCTAAGGGAGACATTTTGAACCTCAGACTACGATATTTCCCTTTCTGATGCAAAGATTGGGGTTTATTCCCTTTTGCAAAGGATTTTTACCTCAGAAAACAACCATTTTGCGCTTTTTTATGGTGTAAAGTAACTCTGAGGGAGACATTTTGAACCTCAGATTATGATATTTCCCTTTCTGATGCAAAGGTTGGTGTATATTCCCTTTTGCAAAGGATTTTTACCTCAGAAAACAACCATTTTACTCTTTTTTGTGGTGTAAAGTAACTCTAAGGGAGACATTTTGAACCTCAGACTACGATATTTCTCTTTCTGATGCAAAGATTGGGGTTTATTCCCTTTTGCAAAGGATTTTTACCTCAGAAAACAACAATTTTACGCTTTTTTTGTGGTGTAAAGTAACTCTTGAGGGAGAAATTTTGAACCTCAGACTATGATATTTCCCTTTCTGATGCAAAGGTTGGGGTTTATTCCATTTTGCAATGATTTTTACCTCAGAAAACAACCATTTTATGGGTTGTTGTAGGTTTTTTCAGGCTATATAGCCATGTTATAGAGGCATTTTCTCCTGATGTTTCGCCTGCATCTATGGCAAGCATCCTCAGAGGTAGTGAGGTCTGTTGGAACTAGGAAAAGGGGTTTTATATATATATGTAGGTGAACTATAACTCCAAAACCAAAGGACACTGTCCACCAAACGCTTCCAGTATTTTCTGTTGGTCATGGGAGAACTGTGTGCCAAGTTTGGTTCAATCCCATCGTTGGTGGGGTTCAGAATGCTCTTTGATTGAAGGTGAGCTATGAATCCCAGCAACTACAACTCCCAAATGTCAAGATTCTATTTTCCCCAAACTCCACCAGTATTCACATTTGGGCATACTGAGTATTTTTAGTGAAGGACATACATTGGGTTGTTAGGTGTCTTGTGTCCACATTTGGTGTCACTTCGTCCAGTGGTTTTTGAGTTCTGTTAATCCCACAAATTAACATTACATTTTTTATTTATATAGATATTATTATCATTACTACTATTTACAGGAGTCTTGCCAACAGTGAGCAAGAGCCAATTCTAGAAAGAAGTGAGAAGTTATGGGGCGCCATTTCCACTTCTGTATAAATAAACTAGCCGTCCCCTGCCACGCGTTGCTGTGGCCCACATGGGGATTCTTTGTGGGAGGTTTCTCCCAGTTCTATCATTGGTGGGGTTCAGAATGCTCTGTGATTGTAGGAGGAACTATAAATCCCAGCAACTACAACTCCCAAATGTCAAGATTCTATTTTCCTCAAACTCCACCAGTGTTCACATTTGGGCATATTGAGTATTTGTGTAGAGTTTGGTCCAGATCCATCATTGTTTGAGTCCACAGTGCTCTCTGTATGTAGACAAACTCTGGATGTAGGCAAACTACAACTCCAAAACCAAAGGACACCTTTCCAGTATTTTCTGTTGGTCATGGGAGAACTGTGTGCCAAGTTTGGTTCAATTCCATCGTTGGTGGGGTTCAGAATGCTCTGATCGTAGGTGAACTATAAATCCCAGCAACTACAACTCCCAAATGTCAAAATCATAATTTTTGAGTGATGGTCACTCCTTGTGTTGTGAGACGTTTTGTTGCCAAATTTGGTGTGATTTCGTTCATTGGTTCTTTTGTTTTTAAGGTACTCATGACGCGCAGAGCATTTTTATATATATAGATAGCACTAAGGCACAATTATATGAAATCCTCCGCTCCTCCAAGAGGTTCACTTGGGTGTGTTCACCTTTTCCTTTTGCAGCATAACCAACGATACGGGATTGTAGTGAACACAGAATCAGAAGGAAATAACCCATATGCCACTTTAAGCACCTTGGAGGAAAGGTGGGACATAAATGCACGACAGGTGGGATATAAATGCAAACAAAGCAAAAACAATATATTCTCTATCTAGCTCTGCAACCATCTATATATATAAAAAGAGAAAGGGCGTCCAACGGGACAGCAAAACTCAAAAAAACCCTGACGAAAATTTACCAAATTTCCCATGCACATACCTCAACCCACAAGGTATGCACAAATCGATTCAAAATACTAAACAACATTAAAACACACTCACAATTAGACAAAACAACTGAGCATGCGCAATGGCACCGGCCAACGCACCCTCCACGCAAGCCACGCCCCCATCCTCTGTCGCCCAGCCCCTACCCTCCCATACGCCCTCTTTCCAACGCACCCTCCTTCTTCTTCCCCCGCCCACGCCCCCATGTTCACGCCCCGCCCCTCCCTCCCCCGCCCCGCCCCACAAGATCATGCCACGCCCCCTCCCTCCCCCGCCCCGCCCCACACGTTCATTCCCCAATCTTACCTCCTCCCCCTCCTTCTTCTTCCCCCGCCCACGCCCCCATGTTCACGCCCCGCCCCTCCCTCCCCCGCCCCGCCCCACACGATCATGCCACGCCCCCTCCCTCCCCCACCCCGCCCCACACGTACACTTCCCCAATCTTACCTCCTCCCCCTCCTTCTTCTTCCCCCGCCCACGCCCCCATGTTCACGCCACGCCCCCTCCCTCCCCCGCCCCGCCCCACACGTACACGTTTGCCAATCTTACCTCCTCCCCCTCCTTCTTCTTCCCCCACCCACGCCCCCTCCAAGGAAGCCACGCCCCCTCCAAACCCCGCCCCTTCCCGCCCTGTCCAAATCCATCCCTCCTCCCCCTCCTTCTTCTTCCCCCGCCCACGCCAGAGAAGGAGGAAGGGAAAGAGGGAGAGAGAAGGGAAAGAAGGAGGGAAGGAGAGAAAGAAAGAAAGAAGGGTAAGAAGGAAGAGAAGAGAGAAGGAGGGAGAAAAGGAAAGAAGGAGGAAGGAGAGAGAAGGAAGAAGAAAGAAGGTAGAGAAGGAAGGAAGGAGATAAGGAGGGAGAGAAAGAGAAGGAGAGAAGAAGGAAAGAAAAAGGGTAGAGAAGAAGAAGGAGGAAAAGGAGGGAAGGAAAAGAAGGAAAGAAGAAGGTAAAGAGAAGGAAGGAAGGATAGAGGGATATAATTAAATCACCAAGTGAAAGGATTTTACGGCATTACGATGAATTACCGACATCATACATACAAGATTTATTTCAGAAGGAAGAGACAAGGAAGGAGGGAACAAAGAGAAGGAAAAAAGAAAGGTAGAGAAGGAAGGAAAGAAGAAGGAAGAAGGAAAGAGGGAGGGAAGGAAAGATAGGAAAAAAGGAGAGAAACAGGGAGGGAAGGTTGGCCACAGCAACGCGTGGCGGGTACAGCTAGTGTATTATTATTTTTTTCGTTTGCAGAAGACGGAGAGGAAGTCACAGCCATTGCAGATCATACCTGTGAGGTAGGTATTATGTGAAGAATTAATGAAGTAGCCGCTTAAGGGCTGGGTCATATCGTCACTTAAGTCCAGCTTTTCTGGGGGGACAATGGCATTCTCTTCTCCGCCCAGGTAGCGCCCAAACCCCTCCATAGACATCTGGTCTGAAGAAAAGACAGGAGACAAAAAACATTAGAAGGTAGCAAAAGAGGAAATCGCAACACCCACAGGTTCCCATTTACGCATCCATCCATGATGTTTATTGCCATGCACAAATTGCATAGTTATAATTTGCCACTGTTGTTCTATTATTATTATTATTATTATTATTATTATTATTATTATTATTAGCCGTCTACTGCCATGCGTTGCTGTGGCCCAGTCTGTGTATATGTGTTTTGTGTGTGTGTGTATATATTAGGCTTGGTTGTATTCATGTATTTATATGTGTACATGCAGTTTGTGTATATGTGTGTGCTTGTCTATATGCATATTTGTGTGTATATATGTATGCATGTGGATATGTATATGTGTGTGTATGTATATATGTATGTGTGCATGTATATGTGCATGTGTATATGTATATATGTGTTTATGTATATGTATGTGTGTATATGGGTGTGTTTGTGCATATGTTGTGTGTATATGTATATATGGTGTATTTTTGGATTTTTAAGTCTGTTCCACTGGGGTTTTGTGTGTGTGTGTGTGTGTGCATGTGCGTTTATGGGTGATGGACACTCGTTGGACTGTTAGGTGTCTTGTGTCCAAATTTGGTGTCAATTCCCCCAGTGGTTTTTGAGTTATGTTAATCCCACTAACGAACATTACATTTTTATTTATATAGATTATTATTAGATACATATCAAGATTAGTACACAGCAAACAAGATTGCTATGCTGGTCCAAGCCAAGGTCTTTAGGCACTGCACCCAGTGTGCCGATCACCACTGGGACCACCTATTATTATTATTATTATTATTATTATTATTATTATTAATAATAATAATAATTATTATTATTATTATTATAACAACAACAACAACAACAACAACGGGACCTCAAAATCGAACTGCAAAGGCTTTGGTATAAACCAGTACAGGTGGTCCCAGTGGTCATTGGCACACTGGGTGCCGCGCCAAAAGATCTCAGCCGGCATTTGGAAACAATAAACATTGACAAAATCACGATCTGTCAACTGCAAAAGACCACCTGACTTGGATCTGCGCGCATCATTCGAAAATACATCACACAGTCCTAGACGCTTGGTTAGTGTTGTGATTTTGTGATACGACTTGTGATTTTGTGATAGAAAATCCAGTATATAGATCTCGTTTGCTGTGACATACTGTGTTTTGTGTCAGTAAAATAACAATAACAACTTCTATTTGTATTACTACTACTACTACTACTACTAATAATAATAATAACAACTTCTATTTGTATTACTACTGCTACTACTACTACTAATAATAATAGTAATAACAACTTCTATTTATATTATTATTATTACTACTACTACTAATAGTAATAACAATTTCTATTTGTATTACTAACAATAATAATAGTAATAACAACTTATATTTGTATTACTACTACTAATAATAATAACAGTAATAACAACTTCTATTTGTATTACTAGTACTAATAATAATAATAATAATAACTTCTTTTTGTATTACTACTACTAATAATAATAATAGTAATAACAACTTCTATTTGTATTACTACTATTACTACTACTACTAATAATAATAACAATAGTAATAACAATTTCTATTCTTATTATTAATAATAATAATAGTAATAACAATTTCTATTTGTATTACTACTATTACTACTACTACTAATAATAATAATAGTAATAACAACTTCTTTTTGTATTACTACTAGTAGTAATAATAGTAATAACAACTTCTATTTGTATTACTACTACTAATAGTAATAATAGTAATAACAACTTCTATTTGTATTACTACTATTACTATCAATAATAATAATAATAGTAATAGTAATAGTAATAACAACTTCAATTTGTACTACTACTACTAATCATAATAGTAATAACAACTTCTTTTTGTATTACTACTAGTAGTAATAATAATAGTAATAACAACTTCTATTTGTATTACTACTACTAATAGTAATAATAGTAATAACACCTTCTATTTGTATTACTACTATTACTATCAATAATAATAATAATAGTAATAGTAATAGTAATAGTAATAGTAATAACAACTTCAATTTGTACTACTACTACTAATCATAATAGTAATAACAACTTCTATTTGTATACTAAACCTCAAAGAGAGAATGTTCCTTTCCCCAAGCAATATGCATTTCCTGAGACATTAAAACAAACAAACAAACCAAACACATACACACATTCGTTCCGGTCTCTAGGAAATGATTTAATACCAACCCTGATTTATCCTCAGGCAGGACCGACGGAGTTTGGGTTTGTTTGGGTGTTCCCTCTATTTTTATCAGTTTTAGACTTATTTATGCAATGCTTTTGACACTAAATAAAGTCCAACATCCGAACCATATTAGCCTTGAGATTATGCGAACCCAGAGTATTTTACGAAGGATGGGGAGACGAAGAGGGCTCACCTCGCTGCTGGAACTGTTGGTTGGGCTCGTACTTGTCGATGAGCTGGCGGACCTGGGCCTGAGTCAGCGGAGGATACAGGACCTCATTGAGGCGGGGGTCTCTTTGCTTTTGGTTGATGAAGTCCATCAGCTGGTCCAGACTGAGGTACGGCTTCCCCTTGGCTCCACTGTTTACCAGAAGAAGGAGAAGTAGTAGGTAGAGAAGGAGGAGGAGAAGGAGAATGAGGAGGAGAAGGACAAGGAGAAGAAGAAGGAGGAGGTGGAGGAGGAGGAGAAGGAGAATGAGGATGAGGAGAAGGAGAAGAATGAGGAGGAGGAGAAGAAAAAGAAGGAGAGGAAGGAGAAGGGCAAGGAGAAGAAGGAGGAGGAAGTGGAGTAGGAGGAGAAGGAGAATGAGGAGGAGGAGGAAGAGAAGGAGAAGAGAAGAATGAGGAGGAGGAGGAGAAGAAGAAAAAGAAGGAGAGGAAGGAGAAGGGCAAGGAGAAGAAGGAGGAGGAAGTGGAGTAGGAGGAGAAGGAGAATGAGGAGGAGGAGGAGAAGGAGAAGAAGGATGAGGAGAAGGAGAAGAATGGAGGAGGAGGGAGGAGGAGGAGAAGAAGAAGAAAAGAAGGAGAGGAAGGAGAAAGGAAAGGAGAAGAAGGAGGAGAAGGAGGAGAGAGGAGAAGAGGAGGGAGAAAGAGAAGGAGAAGAAGAAGAGGAGGTGGAGAGGAGGAAGGAGAAAGAGGAGGAGGAGAGGAGAGAATGAGGAGGAGGAGGAGGAGAACAGGAAGGAGGAAGAGGAGGAGGAGAGGAGGAGAAGAAGGAGGAGAGGAGGAGAAGAAGGAGGAGGAGGAGAAGGGAAGGAGGAGGAGAAAGGAGGAGGAGGGAAGAAGAAAGAGAGAAGGAGGAGGAGGAGGGAAGAAGAGGAGAGGAGGAGGGAGGAGGAGAGGAGGAGAAGAAGAAAGAGAGGAGGAGGAGGAGGAGGAAGGAGGAGAGGAAGGAGAAGGAGGAGGAGGAGAAGAAGGAGGAAGGAGAAGGAGAGGAAGAAAGGAGGAGGAGAGAAGAAGAGGAGGAGGAAGAAGAAGAAGAGGAGGAGGGGAGGAAGGAAGAGGAGGAAAAGGAAGAAGAGGAGAGGAGGAGGAGAGAAAGGGAAGAAGGAGGAGGAGAAGGAGAAAGAAGAAGGAGAAGAAGGAGAAGAAGAAAAAGGAGGAGGTGAAGAAGGAGGAGGAGAAGGAAGAGGAGGTGAAGAATAAGGAGGAGGAGGAGGAGGAGGAGGAGTTGACATTAAGCTGGAATGTGTCCATAATAATAATAAAGCTTTATTTGTACCCTGCTACCATCTCCCAAGGGACTCGGTGCAGCTTACATGAGCCCAAAAACAACAATACATGCAATAATAACAACAATACAAGCAATTAAAATAAAACATGGACAATAACATAACGAAACATAACAATAAGACAACACAGTCACTGTGTAGATTCACTGCATCCTCACCATTGTTCCGTCTTCCAGGAGCTTGGTTTGCATTGCCCCTTAGTTGCATAAAATAGCATCCCTTTGCATTTCCCCCAGGGTTGCTACAGTCTCAGCAGCACCCTGAAAGTTAAACATTAACAGAAGCTGGAAGCCAGCCTGCAAGCCTTTTCACTGTTATTGGTTTTAAAAAGTATCTCTTTAGTCCAGAGACCGCCCTTTTTCCTGGGGATAAGATCTCCATTTTGGAGAAGCTCTCCTGCCTTCTTTAGTATAGAAAAAGCCTCAGATGTGCTGGTGGCCAAGCTAGGCAGCTCGGACAGGCCATCGTGAGTACGGTTACCCTCTTGCCTTTGAAACTGGTGCTGAGCTCAGATAGAGAAAGACCTGCTCTTTCTAAAGGATAGCAGCTCAGCGCTGGGGCAGGGAATATCTCAGGATTTCTCTGCCATTGGGAGAGGCTCCATTACTTCATCTCCAAAACTAACCTTGAGCTCAGATAGGGGAAGACCTGCTCTTTCTAAAAGATAGCAGCTCAGGGTTAGGGTAAAAGATCCCAGGATTTTTCTATCGTTGGGGAAAGTTAACTGAGCTGCTGAAGAAAAAGGGAAGGAAAGAACATCTATATGGATTCACAAGTTGACTGTTTGTGTTTGTAACTTCATCAAGCTGTGCCAAGTCTGTCAAGGACCTTGAGAAATAAATGTTCTGTTTGATGTTCAAATCTGGACTGGCCTCAGTTGCTGGGAATCTTGAGCTTCTAAGTAAGACACCCGCAGTTCACCCAGATAAAGAGAGAATAACCTATCGAAGGGTATAACCTCTTTCACAGAAACCGAACAAAGGGGAGAGGAGGCGGAGTAGCCTTATATGTCAAAAACTCTTATGCTGCAGAAGAGATTCAAGACAGCAATCTGGGAAACCAGCTTGAAATCATCTGGATAAGAATCAAGGGAACTGGGACTCACAAAGATGTCGTTGTAGGCGTCTACTACAGACCCCCAAGCCAGGAGGAAGAACTTGATGAAGTCTTCTGCCAACAGTTGACCAAACAGGCACAGAAGAAGAGATGTAGTAGTCATGGGCGATTTCAACTATCCCGATATTTGCTGGAAAACAAACTCGGCCAAGAGTACAAGGTCCAACAAATTCCTCACTTGCCTTGCAGACAATTTCATGGTCCAGAAGGTAGAAGAGGCAACAAGGGGATTGGCTACTCTTGATCTCATCCTAACAAATGCGGAGGACCTGATCGATGCGGTCGAAGTGGTAGGATCCTTAGGGGCAAGTGACCATGTGCTCCTGCAATTTGAGGTACAAAGGAAGGCCGAAACTAAGACAAGTCAAACCCGCATTTCTGGACTTTAGGAGAGCTGATTTCCAAAAAATGAAGGAAACACTGAGCAGCATTCCGTGGACACAGATACTAAAAGACAAGGGAGTTAAGGATGGATGGGAATTTCTCAAGAGTGAAATACTCAAGACGCAATTGCAAACCGTGCCAACAAAGAGAAAAAATAGGACAAGTGCAAAGAAGCCAGAATGGATGTCCAAAGAACTTCTAACTGTGCTAAGACACAAAAGAGACATGCACAAGAAGTGGAAAAAGGGAGAAATCACCAAAGAAGAATTCAAACAAATAGCCAACACCTGTAGGGAAAAGGTCCGCAAGGCTAAAGCACGAAACGAGCTCAGACTTGCCAGGGACATTAAAAACAATAAAAAGGGCTTCTATTCTTATGTCAGTAGAAAAAGGAAAAACAAGGAGGCGATAGGACCTCTTCAAGGAGAAGATGGGGCAATGCTGACAGGGGATAGGGAAAAGGCAGAACTACTTAATGCCTTCTTTGCCTCGGTCTTCTCACAAAAAAAGAGTCTTCAACCTCAGCAAGATGGAGTGGATGAGGGATTGGAGGACATCCAACCCCAAATTGGGAAAGAAGTCGTCCCAGGAATACCTGGCCGCTCTTAATGAGTTCAAGTCCCCAGGGCCAGATCAACTACACCCCAGAGTATTGAAGGAACTAGCGGAAGTCATTTCGGAACCATTGGCAACCATCTTTGAGAGTTCTTGGAGAACGGGAGAAGTTCCAGCATATTGGAGGAGGGCCAATGTGGTCCCAATCTTCAAGAAGGGAAAAAAGGATGACCCAAACAACTACCGTCCGGTCAGCCTCACGTCGATACCGGGCAAGATTCTGGAAAAGATTGTTAAGGAAGCGGTCTGCAAACACTTAGAAACAAATGCAGTCATCGCTAATAGTCAACATGGATTTATCAAAAACAAGTCATGCCAGACTAATCTGATCTCTTTCTTCGATAGAGCTACAAGCTGGGTAGATGCGGGGAATGCCGTGGATGTAGCGTACCTGGATTTCAGTAAGGCCTTCGACAAGGTCCCCCATGACCTTCTGGCAAGGAAACTAGTCCAATGTGGGCTAGGCAAAACTACGGTGAGGTGGATCTGTAATTGGTTAAGTGAACGAACACAGAGAGTGCTCACTAATGCTTCCTCCTCATCTTGGAAAGAAGTGACAAGTGGAGTGCCGCAGGGTTCCGTCCTGGGCCCGGTCCTGTTCAACATCTTTATTAATGACTTAGATGAAGGGCTAGAAGGCATGATCATCAAGTTTGCAGACGACACCAAATTGGGAGGGATAGCCAATAGTCCAGAGGACAGGAGCAGAATTCAAAATGATTTTGACAGATTAGAGAGATGGGCCAAAACTAACAAAATGAAGTTCAACAGTGACAAATGCAAGATACTCCACTTTGGCAGAAAAAATGAAATGCAAAGATACAGAATGGGTGACGCCTGGCTCGAGAGCAGTACGTGTGAAAAAGATCTTGGAGTCTTCGTGGACAACAAGTTAAACATGAGTCAACAATTTGATGTGGCGGCAAAATAAGCCAATGGGATTTTGGCTTACATCAATAGGAGTCTAGTGTCTAGATCAAGGAAAGTCATGCTACCCCTCTATTCTGCTTGGTTAGACCACACCTGGAATATTGTGTCCAATTCTGGGCACCACAATTCAAGAGAGATATTGACAAGCTGGAATGTGTCCAGAGGAGGGCGACTAAAATGATCAAGGGTCTGGAGAACAAGCCCTATGAGGAGCGGCTTAAGGAGCTGGGCATGTTTAGCCTGAAGAAGAGAAAGCTGAGAGGAGATATGATAGCCATGTATAAATATGTGAGAGGAAGCCACAGGGAGGAGGGAGCAAGCTTGTTTTCTGCTTCCCTGGAGACTAGGACGCGGAACAATGGCTTCAAACTACAAGAGAGGAGATTCCATCTGAACATGAGGAAGAACTTCCTGACTGTGAGAGCCGTTCAGCAGTGGAACTCTCTGCCCCGGAGTGTGGTGGAGGCTCCGTCTTTGGAAGCTTTTAAACAGAGGCTGGATGGCCATCTGTCAGGGGTGCTTTGAATGCAATATTCCTGCTTCTTGGCAGAATGGGGTTGGACTGGATGGCCCATGAGGTCTCTTCCAACTCTTTGATTCTATTATTCTAATTATTATTCTATGAGAAGCACATCTTAGTTTTAACTTTATAGTGTCTGGGTGTGACGGCACAACCATTGTCATTAACACTGCCATCATCACCATGTTTATATCCCACCTTTCTCCCTGTAGAAAGCGGCTAATCGTAATTTTAATAATAACAATTTCAAAACAAGGCAAATAAATCAAATTAAGACTTTTTCCGCACCAAAACGAAACTCCGTTCACTCACATCTCAATTTTAATAATAACAATTTCAAAACAAGGCAAATAAATCAAATTAAGACTTTTTCCGCACCAAAACGAAACTCCGTTCACTCACATCTCTAGCAAAATCTTATCGATGTCCGGGCGAAGGCAGAGCTTGTTCAGGAAGCGTTCGAAGATCTCCAGGGTGAACTCATCGGGTTTGATGGACTCGCTCTAAGGATGGAGAAACGGAGCAAATCAATCCAATGAGACAAACACACGCTGGAGAAGTGATTGCGGTTCAGCAGCTGGAGGGAAAATACTAAAAAAAGTCCCAGGCAGAAGTATAGATTTTTAGAGATGGCTCAGATCCTTCTGGAAGGCGGACAATCTGATGTCCCTGGAGAAAGTGTTCCACAGACAGGGGGCTACTGCCGAGAAGGCCCTGTCTCTCGTCCCCACCAACCGCGTTTACGATAGTGGTGGGATCGAGAGCAGGGCTTCTCCTGAAGATCTTAAACTTCATGATGGTTCGTAACAGGAGATACTTTCGGAACGGTAGTCTGGGCCAGAACCGTTTAGGGCTTTAAAGGTTAAAACCAGCACTTTGAATTGTGCTCAAGAGCTGATCGGCAGCCAGTGGAGCTGGCGTAACAAAGGAGTTGTATGTTCCCTCTGCACCGCTTTCGTGAGCAACCTGGCTGCCGAGCATTGGACTAGTTGAAGCTTCCGGGCAGTCTTCAAAGGCAGCCCCATGTAGAGTGCGTTACAGTAGTCTATTCGGGATGTAACAAGAGCATGGACCTCCGTGGCCAAGTCAGACTTCCCAAGGTACAGACGCAGCTGGCGCACAAGTTTTAATTGTGCAAAAGCTCTCCCGGCCACCACCGAGACCTGGGGAATGGGGTGAGCTCCCATCTGTCAGCTCCAGCTTAGAAATGGAGACGAGCACCACCCTACAGAGTCAGGCTCAACTAAACTTAATGTCAGGTGAAAAATTTACCTATAATAGGATTATGGGCCCAGCAGGCTTATTTAAAAACTAGCCATCCCCTGCCACACGTTGCTGTGGCCCAGTCTGTGTGTATGTTTTGTGTGTGTATATATGTGCATATATTTGTATATATGTATATATATGTGTGTGTGTTTGTGTATATATATATGTGGTTTTGCACATGTGTTGTAATGTATTTTTTGGTGGTTTTTTGCTTTTTAAGTCCTTTCTGCTGTGTTTTTCAGTGTTTATATGAGTGATGGTCACTCGTTGGCCTAATATCAGTATTTTGTCCAAATTTGGTGTCAATTCGTCCAGTGGTTTTTGAGTTATGTTAATCCCACAAACGAACATTATATTTTTATTTATATAGATACAAAACAGGATATATAAAAATTATTTTCCCTCCTTCAGCTATTATTGCGCTCCCGGTGGCCGGCAGGACTGCTGACTGAAAGGTCAGCGGTTTGAATCCAGTGAGCAGGGTGAGCTCCCATTTGTCAGCTCCAGCTGACAAATTGAATGTTCTTCATCCAAATGGGGGAAACATGTGACGAGAGTGGAAGGCAATGGTTCCCAAGGCCTGAAGGCGAACAGAACAAGACAGAGACTGTGCTGACCAAATGAGAATATAATATTTGGAGAATTTTTTAAAAAAACTATTTCTTCAAGCTGTTTTGGAGAGCGATTTGTTTGTTTAGCAATCACAAACAGGAAAGATCTCTGCAGATATGCTTAGCTTGTAAAGAGAGCTTTGTTGTTGTTTTTTTGTGCTGACAGGAGTGAAGACCAACAGGTTGGAGGTTCGAATATGGGGAGCTCCCTCTGTCAGCTCCAGCTCCCCGTGCGGGGACATGAGAGAAGCTTCCCACAAGGGTGGTAAAACATCAAAACATCCGGGAGTCCCCTGGGCAATGTCCTTGCAAATGGCCAATTCTCTCATACCAGAAGTGACTTACAGTTTCTCAAGTACCTCCTCACACACACACACACACACACACACTAATGGGCAGGGTGGTCATCTGTCGGGGGTGCTTTGAATGCGATTTTCCTGCTTCTTTTCCTAGCACACTTTCATGAGTGCTCCGGCCGTCTGCGACATTCTCATCTTTCAGGTTCAAATAAAACAAAATGAATACCATTTTTCAGGAAGTAAACAAGTGTTTACTTTATTTACTCAAATCTAATTCCCACCTTTTTGGGGTAAATTACCTTGCAAAAATCATCCAGGCGTCCCCTGGGCAACGTCCTTGCAGACGGCCAATTCTCTCACACCAGAAGCGACTTGCAGTTTCTCAAGTTGTTCCTGACATGACAAAAAAAAAATCAGCAAAAAGTACCTTGCAAAAATTAGGGTGCACATTAAGGTTTCCCCCGACATTAAGTCTAGTCATAACTGACTTTGGGGGGGGGGGGGGGCTCATCTCCATTTCTAAGCCAAAGAGACGCACTGTCCATAGACGCCTCCAAGACCATGTGGCCTGCATGACGAGATGGAGCGCCATTACCTTCCCGCCAAATTGGTACCTATTGATCTACGCACATTTGCATGCTTTCGAACTGCTAGGTTGGCAGAAACCGGAGCACACCACATTCCCCAGACTCGAACTGCCAACCTTTTTGTCAGCAAGTTCAGCAGCTCAGCGGTTTAACCTGCTACGCCACTGGGGGAGAGCATGGGTGCACATTAGATTCGTACGAGGGTTGAATGAAAAGTAACGCCTCCACCAGATTCGAACCGCCAATCTTTTCGTCAGCAAGTTCAGCAGCTCAGCGGTTTAACCTGCTGCACCACCGGGGAGGGCTTGGGTGCACATTCGGGGGAGCTCCCTCTGTGTTGTGGCTCAGTTTGAGCCTGAGCTTTCTGAGCCTGAGTTTCCTCAGGACGAGGAGGATGATGGGTTACAGATTTCTGAACATGTCCCTGTTGTTGAGGCAGATAGTGTTGATTCTGAAGAAGAGATGGTGTTTCTGTTTCCTAGAGAAAGGAATGTTGTTTTAGGTGAAGGTCATGATTTAAGTGAAACTTCACAGCAGTCCCAGGATAATGAGTTATTCGGCCTTGAAGGTGATGGGTTTTGATTAGGGAGGACCATTTGCAATTAAGGGTACGCCGAAGTGCTCAGCTTGCCAACAAACAGAAAGATCAGGGTCAACGTAATGCTTTCATGCTAGAGAAACATATTTAATGATCTGATTGAAGTCAATCCTTTGTCAGTGCAACTTTGCTTACACCCTGTTAACTTCTCTGAAATTGCCTTGGCTTTTGGGGAAACCTTTTGGCTCTTGGGGACTTTGGTTTTGATCTTGGTTTTGGGGGACTTTGTCATGCTGCCATGGATTCTTGTTTGACCCATGCTAATGGATTATACTTCATGTTATTTGCCTTTGGACCTTGGAAACTTTGCCTTTGCATTTAAGACTCTGTTTCGGCTATTGAACTTTTGCAACTTTATTTCTATGTTTATGATTTTGCTTTTTCTTCAATAAACTACAAAACCTACAGCCTTGGTGTGTGGTGGTGTCTTGAGCAAGGTGAATCTATCCTGAGCTGCGATACTCTGTCAGCTCCAGCTCCCCATGTGGGGACATGAGAGAAGCCTCCCACAAGGGTGGTAAAAAAATCAAAACATCCGGGTGTCCCCTGGGCAACGTCCTTGCAGACGGGCAATTCTCTCACACCAAAAGCGACTTGAAGTTTCTCAAGTCCCTCCTGACACGGAAAAAAAAAGGGAAGGTGTACAGAAGTTGATTGTAAATGATATGATTATAAACTGTATTGATTGTAAATGATATTATTAAAACTGTATTTGTGTTTACACTGGTTGCCCTAATGCTGGAGCGGCCTAGCTGTGAGGAGTGTGTTACCATGGAAACGATGCTAATGCTGGAGCGGCCTAGCTGTGAGGAGTGTGTTACCATGGAAACGATGCTAATGCTGGAGCGGCCTAGCTGTGAGGAGTGTGTTACCATGGAAACAATGCTGTAGAGAAGTGGGAGGAGCTTAGAGAGGGGAGTTTTGAAAAGCGACAGTTAAAAAGTCAGTTAGGTTTTATGCTCAGAGGAGTGAAGAGTCATGAAGAGTTAGGGTTTAGGCTCAGAAGAGTGCACAGTCATGAAGAGTCAGGGTTGAGGCTCAGAGGAATGAAGAGTTAGGTTTAGGCTCAGGGAAGTGAAGAGTTGAGAGAGAGAGAGTGGGAAGTAGAGAAGCAGTGTTTGTGAATAGTCGGAGGTTTCTTCAGTTCGGGAAGGCTGAAGGGGAAACCTTATTAGTTTTATTAGTTAGAGAAGACTAATAGAAGCTCGTTTAGATCACTAGTTAAAAGTGAACTAGAGATCTGAGGTTTGATCACGGAAGGGTCAAACAGGAAGACTATTCACCTCAGGAACCATTGTTTAATAAAGTGCTTCACCACAGCAAAGGTTATTTATAAGTTGTAACATCAGAAGACTGAACTGTATCGCAACCAAGTTATATGTAACGTTCTCCAAGTATTTTCCAAGTTTATCACCAAACTGCAACCATACGCTTTGTTTCAAAATAAACTTGTTCTCTTTGATTGTAAAACTGCCTCATCTCCATTAATTCTGCGTTTAGTGTGCCCAATCTCCCAAAATTACCTCACATCACCAAATTGGTGGCACCATTAAGGATAATAAATAATAAATCGTAACTTCTCTCTCCTGAGACCTCCCTTACCGAATTTGGGGCCCGAGCTCCTTCGCAAATTGGCGGCAGCGGTGGGATTAAAACGGTCATCGTTACAATTAGTGGTAGCAGTTTAACGACTCCTTCCCAAGGAAGGAAACACGCCATCCTATAGTCAGAGTGCAATGGCCCAGAGATCATTCAAGAGAAGTCTTACCACCTCCTAAGTAAGCCAAATTAAGTCTGGGATAGTAATGGCGGTAATAAGAGGCCTTCATCACTGTTGAAGGATTGGAGGTGGAAAGAGAATCAGGCTTTCATTCAGGTCATGGGACAGAGACTGTCTTGGTAGCTATTACTGATGAAATTCGTCAATTAGACCGAGGCGGATCAGCGCTATTGGTACTCTTGGACCTCACAGCTGCATTGGACACCGTGGACCATGACTTGCTGATTCATCGATTGGCTCTGTCTGGTGTACGAGGTTTAGCCCTCAAATGGTTCAATTCGTTCCTCCGGGACCGGAGACAGAGGGTGGAGTGGTGAGGCCAAAGCTCGGAGAGCTCCTGCCTTTGCTGTGGAGTTCCCCCGGGTGCCATCCTCTCGCCCCTGTTATTTAACATCTACGTCCGGCCACTTGCTGGACTGGGACGGAGCTTTGGCCTAGAGTGCTACCAGTATGCAGATGATACCCATCTGCATATTCTTGCGTCTTGAACCTGGGACAACCGCGATTCCTAAGAACTTTAGGCCGTGTTTGGAAGCAGTGATGAGTTGGCTGCGAGCGAGCAGACTAAAAGTGAATCCTGCTAAAACCGAGATACTCTGGCCCGGCCAGCCGCCAGAATTAACCCAGTCTCTGCCTGATTTCGATGGGGAAGCTCTGGTTCCGTCTGCCACTGTTGAAAGCCTTGGGGTTGTGTTGGACTCATAGCTGACGATGGAGGCCCAGATCACTGCCATAAGGAAGCAGGCCTTTTTTCATCTTCGCCAGGCAAGGAAATTGGCATTCTACCTTTCGGTAGAAGCATTGGCAACGGTCATCCACGCAACAGTCACCACGAGGTTGGACTATTGCAACGCCTTATATGCCGGCCTTCCGAAGTCAACAACCCAGAAGATTCAGATGGTCCAAAATGCTGCTAGCAGGATCATCTATAAGATCCCATATCACACCGATTCTGCAGCAACTGCATTCATTGGCTACCAATAGAACATCGGATCTCTTACAAGATACTGATCCTGACATTTAGAGCTCAAAATGGCCAAGGACCTTTCCATCTCCGGGACCGCCTCATTCCTTTTCTCTCCATCAGTGGTCACCTCGATCCACCCAGGAAAATCTCCTCTACATACCGGGCCCGAGGGAGGGACACCTGGAAGCTACAAGGTGTAGAGCTTTTTCGACCTATGCTCCAAAAATGATCTTGACACATTAGAGAGATGGGCCAAAACTAACAAAATGAAGTTCAACAGTGACAAATGCAAGATACTCCACTTTGGCAGAAAAAATGAAATGCAAAGATACAGAATGGGTGACGCCTGGCTTGAGAGCAGTACGTGTGAAAAAGATCTTGGAGTCCTCGTGGACAACAAGTTAAACATGAGCCAACATTGTGATGTGGCGGCAAAAAAAGCCAATGGGATTTTGGCCTGCATCAATGGGAGCACAGTGTCTAGATCTAAGGAAGTAATGCTACCCCTCTATTCTGCTTTGGTTAGACCACACCTGGAATATTGTGTCCAATTCTGGGCACCACAATTCAAGAGAGATATTGACAATCTGGAATGTGTCCAGAGGAGGGCGACTAAAATGATCAAGGGTCTGGAGAACAAGCCCTATGAGGAGCGGCTTGGAAGGAGCTGGGCATGTTTAGCCTGAAGAAGAGAAGGCTGAGAGGAGATATGATAGCCATGTATAAATATGTGAGAGGAAGCCACAGGTAGGAGGGAGCAAGCTTGTTTTCTGCTTCCTTGGAGACTAGGACTCGGAACAATGGCTTCAAACTACAAGAGAGGAGATTCCATCTGAACATGAGGAAGAACTTCCTGACTGTGAGAGCCGTTCAGCAGTGGAACTCTCTGCCCTGGAGTGTGGTGGAGGCTCCTTCTTTGGAAGCTTTTAAATAGAGGCTGGATGGCCATCTGTCAGGGGTGCTTTGAATGCAATATTCCTGCTTCTTGGCAGGGGGTTGGACTGGATGGCCCATGAGGTCTCTTCCAACTCTTTGATTCTATGATTCTATAACTCTTTGTCTCCAAACATTAGAGCAATGTCGGAGTTGCGACCTTTTGTAAAGGCACCCAAGACTTGGCTGTTTGGTTGTGCATTTAAGTAATCAGATCAAATTTGCCAAATAGTCACTGTTGAAGTGTTTTTATGTTGAATGTTTTTATATTGTGTAAATGCTATTTTAGATTGTAAGTCGCTCGGAGCACCTTGGTGGAGAGCAACTAATTAAGAAATAAAGTGAAGTGAAGAAGAATCAACAATATGAGGCACACTAAAAAAAGACTTACCCTATTAAAATTCAGACCACAGGATTCCAGGGCCGTCTCCACCCTCTTTTTGTCGGCTGAGAACATTTTGAGGATGCTGCAGGGAAGGAGACGAGAATAGAGGTAAATTGTCAACAAACCTGTAGAGCTAGTTTCTCAACTTTCCTAATGCCACGACCACTTAATACAGTTCATCGTGTTGTGGTGATCTGCAGGATGTATTTTCATTCACTGGACCAAATTTGGCACAAATATCCGATATGCCCAAATTTGGATACTGGTAGGGCTGGGGAGGATTGATTTTGTCATTTGGGAATTGTAGTTGCTGGGGCTTGAGGTTCACCTACAATCAAAAACAGCATTCTGAATCCCACCAGTGATGGAATTGATGGCACATAGAACTCCCATGACCAACAGAAAACACTGGAGGGGTTTGGTGGGCATTGTCCTTGAGTTTGGGAGTTGTAGTTCACCTACATCCTGAGAGCACTGTGGACTCAAACAATGCTGGATCTGGACCAAACTTGGCACAAATACTCAATACGCCCAAATGTGAACATGGGTGAAGTTTGGAGAAAATAGACCTTGACATTTAGGAGTTGTATTTGTTGGGATTTATAGTTCACCTACAATCAACCGAGCATTCTGAACACCACCAATGATGGAATTGATGGCACACAGAACTCCCATGACCAACAGAAAATACTGGAGGGTTTGGTGGCCATTGACCTTAAGTTTTGGAGTTGTAGTTCACCTACATGCAGAGAGCATGGTGGACTCAAACAATGATGGATCTGGACCTAACTTGGCACAAATACTCAATACGCCCAAATGTGAACGCTGGAAGGGTTTGGTGGGCATTGACCTTAAGTTTTGGAGTTGTAGTTCACCTACATGCAGAGAGCATGGTGGACTCAAACAATGATGGATCTGGACCTAACTTGGCACAAATACTCAATACGCCCAAATGTGAACGCTGGAAGGGTTTGGTGGGCATTGACCTTGAGTTTGGGAGTTGTAGTTCACCTACATGCAGAGAGCATGGTGGACTCAAACAATGATGGATCTGGACCTAACTTGGCACAAATACTCAATACGCCCAAATGTGAACGCTGGAAGGGTTTGGTGGGCATTGACCTTGAGTTTGGGAGTTGTAGTTCACCTACATGCAGAGAGCATGGTGGACTCAAACAATGATGGATCTGGACCTAACTTGGCACAAATACTCAATACGCCCAAATGTGAACGCTGGAAGGGTTTGGTGGGCATTGACCTTGAGTTTGGGAGTTGTAGTTCACCTACATGCAGAGAGCATGGTGGACTCAAACAATGATGGATCTGGACCTAACTTGGCACAAATACTCAATACGCCCAAATGTGAACGCTGGAAGGGTTTGGTGGGCATTGACCTTGAGTTTGGGAGTTGTAGTTCACCTACATGCAGAGAGCATGGTGGACTCAAACAATGATGGATCTGGACCTAACTTGGCACAAATACTCAATACGCCCAAATGTGAACGCTGGAAGGGTTTGGTGGGCATTGACCTTGAGTTTGGGAGTTGTAGTTCACCTACATGCAGAGAGCATGGTGGACTCAAACAATGATGGATCTGGACCTAACTTGGCACAAATACTCAATACGCCCAAATGTGAACGCTGGAAGGGTTTGGTGGGCATTGACCTTGAGTTTGGGAGTTGTAGTTCACCTACATGCAGAGAGCATGGTGGACTCAAACAATGATGGATCTGGACCTAACTTGGCACAAATACTCAATACGCCCAAATGTGAACGCTGGAAGGGTTTGGTGGGCATTGACCTTGAGTTTGGGAGTTGTAGTTCACCTACATCCAGAGAGCACGGTGGACCCAAACAAATCTATATAAATAAAAATGTAATGTTCTTTTGCGGGATTAACATAACTCAAAGACCACTGGACAAAATGACATGAAATTTGGACACTATACCCCTAACAGACCAACAAGTGACCATCACTCATAACTCCTTCCCCCCAAAAATAAAACAGTGGAAAGGACTTTAAAAACCGGAAAATACAGGAAAAAAGGGAAGGAAGAGGGAGGGAAGGAAAGAAGGGGAGAAAGAAAGAAGGAAAGAAAGAGATGCAACGCAAAACACAGTTGAAAATAAGAAAATTAGGATGGGAAAAAAGAAACACAAATGGTTAGAGAAAGGGAAGAGGACGAGGAGGAAAAGGACCTTACTTCTTGACAGGGATCCTGCCATCCTGATTGACCTGGATTTTGAGCCGGGTGTAGCTATAAGGGAGAAAAAAAATGCAGAAAGTTACCTTCTGATTTTCTTACAAGCATTTATTTCTTCTGGCTATTTACTAAGATTTGATTCTTCACTCTTCGTGTGGTGTGTTTTAAGTCAGAGGGTTTCCTCTGGACCTGGAATGTAACAGGTCCGAAGGGGAAGATGTGGTCCCGAATCATTTAGAGCAGTGGTTTTCAACCTTTCTAACACTGTGACCCCTAAATATGCTTCCTCATGTTGTGGTGACAATAACAACAACAACAACAACAACAATAATGGGACCCTTGAGTTGGAAGGGACCCCAACGGTCATCCAGTCCAACCCCACTCACTCTTGCCAGGCAGGAGGACCCCATCCAAGCCCTCCCAACAGGTGGCCATCCAGTTTTGCTGGATAATAACAATAACAACAACAACAACAATGGGACCCTTGAGTTGGAAGGGACCCCAATGGCCATCCAGTCCAACCCCTCTCACTCCTGTCAGGCAGGAGGAACCCATCCAAGCCCTCCCAACAGGTGGCCATCCGGGTTTGATTGATAATAACAACAACAACAACAACAACAACAACGGGACCTTTGAGTTGGAAGGGACCTCAATGGCCATCCAGTCCAACCCCACTCACTCCAGCGAGGCAGGAGGACCCCATCCAAGCCCTCCCAACAGGTGGCCATCCAGTTTTGCTGGATAATAACAACAACAACAACAACAACAACAATAATGGGACCCTTGAGTTGGAAGGGACCCCAATGGCCATCCAGTCCAACCCCACTCACTCCTGCCAGGCAGGAGGACCCCATCCGAGCCCTCCCAACAGGTGGCCATCCAGTTTTGCTGGATAATAACAATAACAACAACAATAATAATAATGGGACCCTTGAATTGGAAGGCACCCCAATGGCCATCCAGTCCAACCCAACTCACCCCTGTCAGGCAGGAGGACCCCACCCGAGCCCTCCCAACAGGTGGCCATCTAGTTTTGCTGGATAATAACAATAACAACAACAATAACAATAATAACAACAATAATGGGATCCTTGAGTTGGAAGGGACCCCAATTGCCATCCAGTCCAACCCCACTCACTCCTGCCAGGCAGGAGGACCCCATTCGAGCCCTCCCAACAGGTGGCCATCCAGTTTTGCTGAATAATAATAATAATAATAATAATGGGACCCTTGAGTTGGAAGGGACCCCAATGGCCATCCAGTCCAACCCCACTCACTCCTGCCAGGCATTAGGACCCCATCCAAGCCCTCCCAACAGGTGGCCATCCAGTTTTGCTGAATAATAACAATTGCAACAATAACAATAATAATGGGACTCTTGAGTTGGAAGGGACCCCAATGGCCATCCAATCCAACCCCACTCACTCCTGCCAGGCAGTGTACTCCGGAATATACGGTATATCTCATGAGAGAGACTGCATGCCTTTGTGAAGCCTGGCTGTTTGTTGTTTTACTTGTAAAGCGCCATGTCCTATCTCAATAAACAACAGCTGCAATAATCGTTATAATAACTTCCAAATAAACTCCTAATTGGCTGGGCTGACACTGGAAACTTGAGCCTCCTAACTTTCAAATGCAATAATCCATCTTCCGCAAAAGGGTCTGCTTTTTTTTTTTGGTTAGATTAACTAAAACAAGCTGGCTGAATAAACGGCACGGAGCAACTCGCATCCGAGGACGCAAAGCCATAATCCGATTTGATGCAATACAGCAAAGTCACTCACGCTTTCTGCAGGAAGGTGTTCCGCGAAGCGTTCTGTGCCAAGATGTTGGTGGCCAGCTTGAACAACTCCTCGGTCCACAACTGGAAAGAAAAACAGATGGGGGAAAAAGGGTCAGCCTAGCCATTTCTTTGGTCCATTTCTACTGTGGGAGGTTTGGCCCAATTCTATCGCTAGTGGGGTTCAGAATGCTCTGTAATTGTAGGTGAACTACAAATCCCAGCAACTACAACTCCCAAATCTCAAGATTCTATTTCCCCCAAACTCCACCAGTGTTCACATTTTGGTATATTGCGTATTCTTGTAGAGTTTGGTCCAGATCCATCATTGTTTGAGTCCACAGTGATCTCCTGATGTATGTGAACTATGCCTCTAAAACCAAAGGACACTGCCCACCAAACCCTTCCAGTATTTTATGTTGGTCATGGGAGAACTGTATGCCAAGTTTGGTTCAATTCCATCGTTGGTGGGGTTCAGAACGCTCTTTGATTGTAGGTGAACTATAAATCCCAGCAACTACAACTCCCAAATGTCAAGATTCTATTTTCCTCAAACTCCACCAGTGTTCACATTTGGGCCTATTGAGTATTGGTGTCGAGTTTGGTCCAGATCCAGCATTGTTTGAGTCCACAGTGATCTCTGGATGTAGGTGAACTACAACCCCAAACCCAAAGGACACCCTTCCAGTATTTTCTGTTGGTCATGGGAGAACTGTGTGCCAAGTTTGGTTCAATTCCATCGTTGGTGGGGTTCAGAATACTCTTTGATTGTAGGTGAACTATAAATCCCAGTAACTACAACTCCCAAATGTCAAGATTCTATTTTCCCCAAACTCCACCAGTGTTCACATTTGGGTATATTGAGTATTTGTGTAGAGTCTGGTCCAGATCCATCATTGTTTGAGTCCACGGTGCCCTCTGAACGCAGGTGAACTACAAATTCCAGTGTTTTCTGTTGGTCATGGGAGACCTGTGTGCCAAGTTTGATTGTAGGTGAACTATAAATCCCAGCAACTACAACTCCCAAATGATAAAATCAATTTTTTGAGTGAAGGACATACATTGTTAGGTGTATGGGATGTTAGGTGTATGGTGTCCAAATTTGGTGTCAATCCGTCCAGTGGTTTTGAGTTCAGTTAATCCCACAAATGAACATTACATTTTTATTTATATAGATAATAAAGGATAATAATATCGAGGATAGCTTTGATGGTGTGGTGAATGAATTAGAACCAGACATCCTGAGGAGTGAGGTGGAATGGGCTTTAAGAAGCATTGCTAACAACAAGGCAGCAGGAGACGACGGGATCCCAGCTGAACTGTTTAAAATCTTAAAAGATGATGCTGTCAAGGTGATGCATGCCATATGCCAGCAAATATGTGTTTACATATTACGAAATTGCACGCTACTGTTCCTTGTCTACCTTTGCTGCTAAGTGGTATTAAGAACGTAATATAGCACTTTAAGGCGCCTGCCTCTGCTGCTAAATCATACTTGCACTTACGCCCCCTTCCCGATCCCTCCTTGCCGCACTTTAGTTAACGGTGAGAGCCAGATTTAGGTATTTTGTCGCACTTTAAGATCGTTGCACTTTATGAATTGCCCTAGTGGCACGCAGCCGTGGAGCCTACTATTGTTGCACTTTAAGATTCTTGCACTTTATGTACTATCTTACTTTCGCGGCTGAAACGTTCACTACTCTTCACCACTATCAATCTTATTGAAGTGTACTGTTATCATCCATGTGGTCCCCCACTCTCCTACTTATACTGTCCTTGATATTAGTGACTAGTGGAAGGAGCAAGGGTAGAAGTGGGCTGGAGCCCGTGGATAACAATGAGGTGGGGAGGGGGGAGAAAGAGAATCAAGGTAATTGGCATGGAAAAACGCCAACAAACCAAACAACTAGTGAAACAGAGACTAAGACCTTGGTTTTGGATTGCGGCATGGAGGAGGGGAGGTGTTCCACTAGCCGAGGGGCCCCCATAGAGGTCGTGGTGGGGAGGAGGAGATGCGGAAAAAGGAGACCTCAAATTCGGCTTAATTCGGACCGCTTATCTACATTAACAATCCCAAATCGGTCTCCTAGGGTAAATTGGTGTAACCAGGCTGGCGGGCCCTCCGGATTGAAGGTGGTGCTACTGAACGCCAGATCTGTCAACGGAAAAACGACCTTTATCCAGGATTTAATCCTGGATGAGCGGGCAGATCTGGCGTGCATCACGGAGACCTGGCTGGATGAAGCTGGAGGAGTGAATCTAACCCAGCTCTGTCCTCCAGGCTTCTCCGTGCAGCACCAACCGAGATCCGGAGGTCGGGGAGGCGGGGTCGCAGTGGTCTATAGAGATTCCATCCATCTGACCAGGTGCCCCATCCCGCAGACCACAAATTTTGAATGCGTCCACCTGAGGGTGGGTGACCGGGACAGAATAGGGATTCTGCTAGTGTACCGTCCACCTCGCTGCACTACAGTCTCCCTACCTGAGCTAGCGGGGGTGGTCTCGAGCCTGGCGTTGGAGTCTCAACGGCTTTTGGTGCTGGGAGACTTCAATATCCATGCCGAGGCGACCCTCACAGGAGCGGCTCAGGACTTCATGTCTGCCATGGCAACCATGGGGCTGTCCCAACAAATATCTGGTCCCACCCACTGTGCTGGACACACATTGGACTTGGTTTTCTGTCAGGGATGGGAGCAGGGTGGCGGTGTGGAGGAGTTGTCTATCTCTCCGTTGCCATGGACTGACCACTTCCTGATCAGATTTAGGCTCACTGCACCCCCTAACCTCCGCAAAGGTGGAGGACCCATTAAGATGGTCCGCCCCAGGAGGCTTATGGATCCGAATGGATTCCTGACGGCTCTTGGGGATTTTCCCGCCACCTCGGTAGGTGACCATGTCAAGGCCTTGGTCGCTCTCTGGAATGGGAGATGACCAGGGCAATTGACATGATCGCTCCGGAACGTCCCCTCTCAAGTAGCCGAGCTAAACCAGCTCCTTGGTTTACTGAGGAGCTGGCAGTGATGAAGCGAAGGAAGAGGGAACTAGAGAGCGTGTGGCGCTCGGACCCAAGCGAGTCCAAATCGAGCACGGTTTGTGTCCTTTTTAAGGGCATATGCCGCGGCAATAAAAGCCGCAAAGAAAACTTTCTTTGCGGCTACTATTGCGTCTGCAAAAAACCGTCCGGCGGAGTTGTTTCGGATTGTCAGAGGTCTTTTAACTCCCGCCACCTCAGGCGGGAGCCCTGACAATTCGGTCACGCGCTGTGAAGCATTTGCTCGGTTCTTCGCAGACAAAGTCGCTTTGATCCGCTCTGGGCTGGACTCCGCGTTAAATGCAGTCTCGGAGGATGTAACAAGAGCACCTGCTTGTCCTATTTTGATGGATTCTTTTCAGTTTGTGAAACCCGAGGATGTGGACAAGATACTTGGAGGAATGAGGCCCACCACGTCCATCCTAGACCCCTGCCCATCCTGGCTTCTGAAGGAGGCCAGAGGGGGATTGGCTGAGTGGGTAACGGTGGTGGTTAATGCCTCCCTTCGGGAAGGCAAGATTCCAGCGAGCTTAAAACAAGCAATTATAAAACCGCTGTTGAAGAAACCATCATTGGACCCCACTAAATTTGACAACTTTCGGCCTGTTTCCAATCTCCCCTTTTTGGGCAAAGTCATGGAAAGCGTGGTGGCCTCACAACTCCAGGTATTCTTGAGAGACACGGATATTCTGGATCCAGCACAGTCTGGCTTCAGACCGGGACATGGTACCGAGACGGTCTTGGTCGCCTTAGTGGATGATCTCCGCCGGGAGCTAGACAGGGGGAGTGTGTCCCTGTTGGTGCTGCTGGACCTCTCAGCGGCCTTCGATACCGTCGACCACGGTATCCTTCTGGGGCGCCTTGCGGAGATGGGTCTTGGGGGCACTGCTCTGCAGTGGCTCCAGTCATTTCTGGAGGGTCGTACACAGAAGGTGTTATTGGGGGACTCCTGTTCAACGCCACAGCCTTTGACCTGTGGCGTTCCACAGGGTTCTATACTGTCCCCCATGCTGTTTAATATCTACATGAAGCCGCTGGGTGAGATCATCCGGAGTTTCGGGGTGCGGTGTCATCTGTACGCAGATGATGTCCAACTCTGTCACTCCTTCCCACCTGCTACTAAGGAGGCTGTCGAGGTCCTGAACCGGTGCCTGGCCGCTGTAATGGTCTGGATGAGGCGAACAAACTGAAATTAAATCCAGACAAGACAGAGGTACTCCTGGTCAGTCGCAAGGCCGAACAGGGTATAGGGTTACAGCCTGTGCTGGACGGGGTCGCACTCCCCTTGAAGGCGCAGGTTCGCAGCTTGGGTGTGACCCTGGATTCATCTTTGAGCCTGGATCCCCAGGTTTCAGGGGTGACCAGGGGAGCATTTGCACAGCTTAGGCTCGTGCGCCAGCTGCGCCCGTATCTTGGGAGGTCTGACTTGGCCACGGTGGTACACGCTCTGGTCACATCCCGCCTTGACTACTGCAACGCTCTCTACGTGGGGCTGCCCTTGAAGACGGCCCGGAAGCTTCAGCTAGTCCAGCGCACGGCAGCCATGTTACTAACGGGAGCGGGACGCAGGGAGCATACAACGCCCTTGTTGTCCCAGCTCCACTGGCTGCCGATCTGCTACCGGGCCCAATTTAAGGTGCTGGTGTTATCCTACAAAGCCCTAAACGGTTCCGGCCCAAAATACCTTTCGGACCGCATCTCGGCCTATGAGCCCACGAGGGCCTTGAGATCGTCTGGGGAGGCCCTTCTCTCGATCCCGCCTGCCTCACAGGCACGTCTGGCGGGGACGAGAGAGAGGGCCTTCTCAGTGGTGGCGCCCCGGCTGTGGAACACCCTCCCTGTTGACATCAGACAGGCGCCCTCTCTTATGGCTTTCCGGAAGAGCCTAAAGACCTGGCTCTTCGAAAGGCATTTAATTGAGTGCTATACAAACTGGTAATGACAAGTGGAACGGAATACGGACTATGAGATTGGCTATGATTCTATGTGTGACGATGCGGATTAGCTTAGTGTAAATTAGTTTAGTGTGTATTAGTGAAATGCTGATTTTGTT